CTGAAGTGAAGCTATTTTTGAGCATATCGAATGCTTCTTGGCACGATGAAGTCCAGTTCCATTTGACTAGTTTCCGTGTCAGGGCAACAAGTGGTCGTACGATGCGTGAAAATCCCTTGATGAACCGTCTGTAGAAATTCGAGAATCCTAAGAAGGCTTGAACATCTTTGACGTTGATAGGGGCCTCCCAGTTGATGAGACAGTCGACTTTCTCTGGGTCCATCCGTACTCCAGTGGTTGAGATGATCATGCCCAGATATTTAACTTCAGTAGTCTCAAATTCGCATTTCTTGACGTCAAGTTGTAGGCCTGCGGCTTCAAGTGCTTGAAGTACTGATTTGACGTGGAGTCTGTGGGTGGCGAGGTCGTCTGAGTAGATGAGAATGTCGTCGATGTAGGCTGTGCAATATCTATCAAGGAATGGGCGTAAGACTTCGTTGATTCGAGCTTGAAAGGTAGCTGGGGCGTTTGATAGTCCAAAGGCATCACCATGCTCTCGAAGAGACCATATCTTGTGTTGAACGCCGTCATCCACTCCTGACCCTCCTTGATGCGTATTCGATTGAACGCTGCGACGACATCGAGTTTGGTGAAATACTTGGCTTGGCTTAGCTGAGAAAGTGTCTCCTGGATTAACGGTAGCGGGTAGCGGTTCTTGATGGTTATCGCGTTAAGAGCTCGGTAGTCCACGCAAAAACGAAGGCCCCTCCTGGCTTCTTTGCAAATAACACCGGCGAGGCCGCCGGTGAGGTGCTAGCGCGTATAAAACCCTTGTCAAGGTTTTCCTGAAGGAATTTCCGGAGGACGAGAAGTTCGTCTTGGGACATCCCGTACAGAGGTCCATGTGGTGGAGTCGTTCCAGGTTGAAGTTCAATTTCGTGGTCGCAGTCTCGGTGTGGGGGGAGTTTATCCGCCTCTGATTGGTCGAATGCCTTCAAGAATTCATGGTAGTGTTGTGGTACTTTTGTTGCAGGATCGATCAAAGTCTTGGGTTCGAGGGCTTTGTGAATGTCTTCGAGTGATGCCCTGAAAGGTACATATCGGCTGCTATTTTCCGGGAAGCTCAGAGTTCCTGTGTTTGTTGGTCCTTGGGGTTAAGGGAGGTGATTCCGTCCTGTAGCTGGAGCTCTCGGTTCATCTTGTCCATGTCTGTGAGTGCAGAGTCGAATCGGACCCGTCGGCGTGTTTTAGGTTCTACGAAGGTGGAGGCTTCTGTGATGACCCCAAGTTCAGCCAGCCTTTTGTCGATCTCATACAGTGATAATGAGAATACGTCGACGTCGCGGTTTTGGTCAGCATGTGGAATGCGGCTGCGCCGACTCTTCGGGGGATTGATGGGCGTGGCAGTATAGTCGTGGTTGCAGAACTTGACAAAGAGGGAGCTCCAGAAACAGGCAGTTGGTATTGTCCTTTCTCCATGCAGTATTTGCGGCAGTGATCAGAGTTGAAAGTGACCACATTCGTGCTCCAATTGACGATTGGGTTGTGATCTGTTAGCCAGGGTTTTCCAAGTATGACATTATACTTCCCAAGCTTCGTTACGTAAAAAAGCATCTTCTCCTTGTGTCCCTTGATGTCCATGTTGAGCTTCACCACATGAGTGATGTCGCCAGCCGAGGAGGGTCTTCCATCGACTACGTTCAGCCGGCGACGGTTTCGTAATTCATAAAGCGTGAGTTTGTTGGTGTGCGCGAAGGATTCGTCTATAAACCCCTTTCCGGTGGCACCTGAGTCAAGCATTGCTTCGGTTTTAATCGGGTGGAATTGTCTTCGATTAGGTTACAAGGCAGTAGCAAATGAGCTTGGTTGGTGTCCAGAGAAGAGAGCAGTAGATCGCCCTTTTCTTGCGTCTCCTGCGGCGACTTCCGTCGGAGACTACACTTTCCGTCCTCCATGGTGCGGTGTCGCAATTGAGGGAACGATGTTTGCCCGAGCTGCACCAATGGCAGAGTCCATGCGTTGTGCAATAGGCTCTGCGTGCCGCTCTCTGCTTCCGTTTGGGGTCTACGACCAGAGGCGACATCTTTGGCCCCCAGGTGATGACGCTCAAATCCATTGAATCCCCGCCGTTAGAGGTCGTCGATTGTGGCGTGGTGGAGGTTGTAAGGTTGCTTTGTGACTTGCTGAGTTGTCGGTGTTTTCTTGAAGTAATTGGCATTGACTTGACGGCATTCGTTATCGCAGATACGGACAAGGTCCATAAATTGACTAAGTTCGGTAGGTGTATCTTTGCCCTTAGTGAGAGAAAGTCTCCAGATAACGTTGTCGTGGAGGGCACGTCGGAGGTGAGCAATGAGCGCCCCACTATCCCACTCGGTGAGCTTGGCGACGGCATACCATTCGGGAGGAATGTCGTAAGGGATCTATGGCCTTGTTTCATGTCAAAGATTTTGAGTTGGGCGGTAGCTTTAGCGTCAATATCCCCGAAGGCTGACTGAAGGGTGCTTTTTATGGCATTGACATCGTCGAAGAGAACCACCCCATCTTTAATGTTGTAGCGGACTTGGTCATGTGCTTTGCCTTTAAGGCATGAGACGACATATCCCATACGTTGAGGTTCCGAGTTCCACCAATCTTTATTCATTTCGAGCTTCAACTCGAGGTGCTGGAGGAAATTCGGCAGAAGCGTGGGGTCCTCTCCGGTGAAGGCCTCAGGATCAGGGTGTTCTGGTGTGCGGTGTGAAGCTCCTTTGACTGAATGATCTTTAGGTATGCTTCATTTTCTGCCATAAGACGGGCGATCGTTGCGTCTCCATCACTTTTAGAAATGAGCGTGTTTTCTAGGCGGGTTTGGAGGTCCTCCATGTCCCTTATTGTCGTCGTGGTCGAGGCACGTAGTGAATCGATTACCGCTTGCATACTGTATGCGGCATTGCATACGAGGAAGACTTCTTTCATGAGACCGGCTGGGTTAGCAACAAAGGCATTTCGGAACGTTTCATTGGTATTGCTGGCGTTGAGGAGGACAGGGGCACTCGATCGACGGGTGTGGGGCAGCGGTAGCCATTGGGTTGTTGACGGTGTGGTGGTTTAGGTGAGAATTTGGTTGCAGGGTGTTTTGGTGAGGTTTGAAAGCGACAAGTGCGGTTTAGAACTATCGAAATCAATAGTCACGTCGCGGACGGTGATCTGTTGAGGAGGGTAGTTGGTAGACAATATGTGACGGTACAAGTGCACGAACAAGGTCGGGTGCGACTTGGGTAAAGTGATTGTCTACGAAGAGAGAAGGAGGTTCCTAAGGAAGACTCTGACTTTCGCTATTTACATGAATCAAAGTGAGACATTTCATAAAGTATGAAAGTCACATGATCGTTCCCTCACAGTAAATTGACACATGGCAAACATTGGCCACTGGGCTTCATGAATGGCAACCATCAACCATGTAGCAGAACATATATCCAGCTTCAAGCCCATCAGCAAGCTCAGGTTCCTGTTCTTAACCAGGGCGCTTATGCATGATGGGGGGACTTTTTAACCCCTTATCTCGGGAGTGTACGAAGTATTATAGAGAGAATCAACCCATACATGTACGAATGCAATCCAACGCTCGGGACGGACAGATGGGCAAGGGAGCGCAAAGGGCCGCGTCATCCTAGACGGCATTCTACTTCCGACGAAGATGGTAGGTTAGACTCCGGCAGTATGAAACACTAGACGTTCATGGCCGTGGCCTACCCCCTGCAAGAAGTCGGAGCACGTTGAGCTGTCACTTTTCACGCCTCTTTATTTCAATAACGGATTGAGACTGTTGCGCCTGAGGATATTCGTGCATTTCGTGATTCATGTTCAATTGCGCTCATCTCGCTGAGGTGTGTGTCGGACGTTGTGTTGATGCTGCACGTTGATTCTTTATGCCCATGGAAAGTCACCATCTCGTGTGACACAGATATGGTTGTATTTTATGTCCCAAAGTTTGCTGACAGATATTCCTCTACGCGCAGGACAATATTGGAGTTTAAGAAAAGCTCCGTAGCGGTGGCTGGAATGGCCGTTGGCACAGACTTGAAAACTGACAGGTAGCTGGCCATGTGCCTGATGCATTCCAGCGACAGTGCCTTGACATAGGTTCAAGCCATATCGAGTCTGAATCCGAGGCACTTTTAGGTTTATCAACGAATGTCACCTGCGTTCCTGAAAGCACCTCCGTTTCTTCGCCTGTATTCGACTCTGCATTTGGTTCTGACCTATCGTGGGCCTCAGACCTTCTTGAAGGGGATTGAAGCCTAGCTTGCAGCACATGTCTCAGAAGTAGATCCTGCACTACGGTGTGGGGACAAAAGTGCACCACATCTCTGGATCTCGAGCCCCCTGTAGCGCATGCAAGGCAACACTTAATAGAAAAGGGCAAGTGAGCTCGTAAGGGGGGCCAGTCATAACCTTGGACTGTGGGGACTGTGAATAGTGAGTGAAAGGTCTGGCTTGTTATCGGCGTCGAACGGGAATAAACCCGGGGCTTGATGGGTTCACGTCCGCGCGACCATCATCAGCGCAAGTGAACCCCTTCAAGATGGAGAGGCCAAGGACGGTAGTGAAAGGAATCAGAGACTTGACGGTGATACATGGTGGTACCACAACATTGGCTTATGCCCTATTTTACTGGGCGCCGACGGTCTTTCATCATTCTCCCCAAAGCGGCTGGAACTGAATAAGAATCAGGCGGCAAACGGTGGTCCCCAGACAGACACGAGATGACCGGCATGCGTCTAACCACGAGAAACGCTTTTCCAACTAGGCGGCAGATGGGAAGGAATTGATGATCAGGCGTCAGCGATTTCCGAACAAGTAGTCACAGAATGCTTTTACAGGGGTTTCGAGCACATCTTCACGTTCAAAAAGCAATATATTACAGTCTGAAGCCAGTGAGGCTCGGAGGACATCTCAGGCGGGCGATGCTAACAACCAAATTGCTGAGATGTCGTGATATCTAGGCCCATAAGTCGTATCAAGAGGCTATTCGTGAAGTGAGGGGGTCCCATTCTGCAAGGCTACCGACCAATCCCTTACTTCTCGCGCGTGTCGCAGACCTTCTTGATCAAACCGAGTGCTTGATCTGTTCGCGTTCAACACCAGTCAGCGAGGAAGATTCTTGAACAGCAAATTCACTCATTTGGTTGGGGTTTTAGCGCTGGCGTTCTTACGCTGCTGGGGCTTGGAGATCCCGCACTTCTTCAGGCAGCTCTCCGCGCCCTCCTCGATCTTGCCGAGGTTCTCGCAGGCAGCATCAACCAGCCCCTGGTCCTTGGGCTTGATCTTGTTGGCGCTCCTGGAAACGCACGGTATCGCGCACTTGGCCGTCTTGACGACGGGGCCGAGCTGGGACAGGAGGCGACCAAAGTCGAGCTCCTCGGCTTCGGCATACTAGGCGTACTCGACCTTGGCGTAGGCCACCGCGGCGAAAACAACAGCGAGGACAGCGGAGGTCTTCATTTTGAAGAATTGGGTAGAGTATCGAGTGTAGGGAAGAAAGTTGTCTAGGTGGGTGATTGGAGCTGGGAATGGGTTGGATGGCTGACTTTGCGAGGATGCTCGATACGTAGTCCAGGAGCAGCGGAGTTGCGCTTTATAGTCAGGTCCTCGGCGGGAGGGAAACGCTCGAGCCCAGCCGCCCTATTACGGCGGGCTTGTGGCAATTCCAGGAGAAAATTCCTCGCTGTCGCGGTCTGTAGAGCTCAAAGGAAGTAGTTCCCGGGGACCCAGCTCAGGTTTGTTCGCCGGGGTGAAGAAAACAGAGAGGGGTTTAAGACTCGTCTCAGACTAAAATTCTGGAGATCCCAAATGTGTTCCAGGGGATTCCTCCGGTTGAGTGAGCGATCTGCGAGCCAGCGACGAGAGCCAGCACAATGGAGGTGAAACCTTGGCGTGAGTTGGTATTTGGACAAATTGGCTCCGGTGAGAGCGTATACTCCGGAACTGAAAATTGGAGACGCACTTGCGGGCGATCGGGCGAAGGGTCCTTGCTGCGCTGACTTTGTATCTCCTAGAAGACTCAGACTCCAGATTCCTGGTGAGAATTGAGGACATTTTTCTCCCGGCACCGTACGGCATGGCAGGGGCGGCGAAGCGGCTCCGGTAGCTCCTATAACTCGACAAATCGGGAAAATATAAATTTCGCGGGCTCGCCCCAATTCTGTTTGGGTTTGGCTCATCAGTCCCTCATCACCCACCAGTACTTACAGCATCACCTCATATCCAGACCCCCCCTCTCGTCAAAAAGATGAAGGTTCAGGCTCTGGCTTTTGCCCTCGCCTTCGGGGCGGGCGTTATTGCCTCCGATTCCAACGAGCTCGCCCACCATTCCGTGACGGCTGAGCAGCTTTCCGCCATGTCCGAGGCCGAGTCCACCTTCATCTGCGCAGCGAAGGCGAAACTGGGCATCTGTGGCCCCACGGGACCCTGCAAGCGTGACTTGGGGGAGACCCAGCAGCCCGCCCAGGGGCAAGCGGCCACCTGCTTCATCTGCCAGAGCTTACACCCCGAACTCTTCTGCACGCCTGTGCCCAAGCCCCCCAGACGCGGATGCCCGAACGGCGGCTTCGGTCCTACTTGCGACGGCAGGGGCGGTCCCGGGTGTCCCAGGGACAAGGGAGGGCCCAGATGCGACAGGAATCGGCCCCGACGAGGCTGCCCCAACGGCGGCTTCGGCCCCACCTGCGACGGCCTCGGAGGCCCTGGCTGCCCCGAGAACAAGGGGGGGCCCAACTGTGAGCGAAACCGGCCCCGACAAGGTTGCCCCAACGGCGGCTACGGCCCCACTTGTAGCGGCAGAGGCGGTCCCGGCTGCCCCCCCGGTCGCGGCGGGCCCCGCTGCAAGGACTTCGAGCCCGAGCTCGGCTGTCCCAACGGCGGCTTCGGCCCCACCTGCAGCGGCAGAGGCGGTCCCGGCTGCCCCCCCGGTCGCGGCGGGCCCCGCTGCAAGGACTTCCAGAACGAGCGAGGTTGCCCCAACGGCGGCTTCGGCCCCAGGTGCAGTGGCCGAGGCGGCCCCGGCTGCCCCCACGGTCGCGGCGGGCCCCGCTGCAAGGACTTCCAGAACGAGCGAGGTTGCCCCAACGGCGGCTTCGGCCCCAGGTGCAGTGGCCGAGGCGGCCCCGGCTGCCCCCACGGTCGCGGCGGACCCCGCTGCAAGGACTTCCAGAACGAGCGAGGTTGCCCCAACGGCGGCTTCGGCCCCAAGTGCAGTGGCCGAGGCGGCCCCGGCTGCCCCCACGGTCGCGGCGGGCCCCGCTGCAAGGACTTCCAGGACGGTGATGGTGGTTGCCCTCCGGGTCGTGGCGGTCCCCACTGCGACGAGAACGAGGCCGGACAGGGCTGCCCCCCCGGCCGTGGCGGTCCCTACTGCGACGAGGACAAGCCCGGACCGGGTTGCCCCCGCGGCCGTTTCGGCCCCAAGTGCAATGGCCCAGGTCGCCCCGGTTGCCCCAAGAATCTTGGTGGCCCTCGCTGCGAGGACCACGTTCCCGGCCAAGGGCCTTATGAAGGTTGAATGGCGGCGATGTCATGACATGGCAACGCACACCAAGCTGTGTCAATTCAAATGGGCTGCGTTGCTCAAGAGGGGTCGATGCTAAACGATGCGGATATTTTGGAGGGTCGTGATGCTACCCAGACTGGTGCCTGAACAAGACATTGTTGGGCGTCATCGGGGCCCGCGCCTTGTGTCAGTCGGCGGGAGGTTGATGAAATGGCTGGCTTCTCCAAACTCATGACAAGCTAACGGATGAATTACGGGACGTAGTATTGAATCTAGTAATTGACTCATGTTGGACCCGACAAGGCGTTCCCGTCTCGTAGCGTTGGTCAAGCTGCTCTCCGGTGTACTTTGTATTCCAAACGGCGATCGGCTGCGATTAATTAGCAACTGGCACTTGATCCTTGATGAGGGATGAAGACTGACTTGGACATGATCAGGTGGTCATGAGAATGGCCCGCCGCAAGTCTCGTCCCGACAGAGCCTAGATGGGAAATCAGGCGGGAGCCAAAAATAGCGGTTTGGACCCCGTAACTCTAGGTGCAGATTGCAATGTCGACGTAGAGCAGGCGATCGCCAACGAGATGTCAAGACGGGAGGCCGATCCAATGGAGTAAGCTGAGGCGTCCAGACGCCAAGGGACGATGAAGCAGATGCGAAACGCGAGCAAATAGCAGGGACATCAGAGCGAGCGGCGCTGACACCTGGTTTGGGACTCCTGAGGCAAGCTCCAGATGCGGGATGAAACCATGGGCAGCTCTAACGGCTCGCAACGTGGCCGCAAGACGGTGTCGATGCGAAGCGGAATGTGGGAGGCAGCGGGACTGAAAGGGTTCTGTCGATGCCGCGGGGCGAGAGCAGGGCGAGAGCAGGGCGAGAGCAGGGCGAGAGCAGGGCGATGCAACAAAGACGGTCCCCGTAGGCCTGTATACGTCAACATTGGTATCTGCGATACGGCACCTGCCCTGGCGGCCATCTTTTTTTGTTGCTTGGGCCACGGTTTAGGCCTCGCGTTTGGGTTTCAAGAGTCGCACGGGTCCCTGTAAGATGTAACTGCGAGGTGTAAGGTGCGTAGATGCAGGAGACGGAGATTGCCCCACGTCTGCTTCTTTCGGTATGGCGAGGAGCCTTAGCTAAGCAGACTACATAATTACCTAATTAGGCAATTACCTACGATGTCGTCGTTCCTCGACAACGTTCCTCGACAACGACAGCGACGATCCCCCCATGACTCACGGACCTCGCGCGTTCTTCATCCGTTGTGGCCATGATTTAAGCTCGCTCATCCTGCTGAACGGGTCCGGTCTCGACAAGCGCGCCTTCGTGCCCCTTCATGCCCATGCAATGACGAGCCCAGCTTCATGCACCGTCCTCCCAGGCTCCCATTCCCTGGTTGGAATATCTCCGACACAACGGCGAGACGTATCAGCCAGAACCGGCTGAGCTTCAATGCCCTTCAATGCCCTGAGGGACTGTGGCTCGTCCTCCGGAATCCTTGGCTGTCCCGACCTCAAACAGTCTTGGCCCACTCGAAACCCGTTGCATCCACGATGGCTGTCACTCTCTCCCCGTCTCTTGCTCCTCTCCCGCCAAGCCTCCATATGGACCCTGTGAGCTGTGACGCCTCGCAAACCTGCCAAGCCCCCAGTCTTCTGCTTCGTCGTCTCTGGCCGCCACAGACTCCAGTATTGGCATCCATCCGTGGCTCTTCCTTGCCTGACGTCGTAACACCAAGTCGCGGCCCGCCTCCTGGACTGCCGAGATGGTGCATACAAAGGCCCGTCAGCTCCCTCTCCGCACCGCCTCTTCTTTTCCCTCGCTTCCTTTACCCGCTTTTCGGCTTCTTTTCGTTCCGCCATTTTTAGCTCAGCAGCGTGGGGGCCCGCCCTGTTCCTTTGACAGGGCATCCACCTCCAACAAGCAGTCGACGTCCACCGAATCCCCAGCACTCTTCTCTTGCCCCGGCTTCTTCGAGGCATAAGGTGCTGTTCTGCTGCGGTATTCGGGTCCCGCCGACATTTGTTGCTGCTCATCTATCTCTTTTAATGTGGCTCCTGGCATAACACTTTCTTCACTCTTTAAACCAGATACAGCTCACCGCTCGGCTGGTTCCGAGCTAACATAATTCACCATGGCGCCGTCTCTTTCTTCCCTGCTCCTCGCGCTGCTTCCGCTGGTCTCTGGCCTACCGGACCCATCGCCAGCCACCGTCAACGTCAGCAACCCCAACAGCACGACCAAGATGGACGGCAGCTGGATAGTCGTCTGGAAGCAGGAAGCCGATGATAAGACCATTGCAGCTCGCCAAGCCGAGTTCTCCGCCACCCTGAGGAAGCGCAGCCTCAGCAAGCGAGACGGCGCGCCCATGAAGTCCACGGACCACGCCATAGGGGACTTTCGCGCCACGTCCTGTGACACAGATGCCAAGACCATGAATCTCATGATCTCTGAGGCTGCCGACCAAGTCGAATTCGTCGAGGCCAACCAAAGGATCACCATGTTCCAGACTGAGGAAAAGGAGGCCAAGCCTCCCAATGTCAACCTCACAGCGCTGCAAGAAGCCAGCGCAAGGGATAAAGGGCCCAAAGGAGCTGGCACTGTCGTCTACATCATGGACACGGGCGTCAACGTCAATCACACGGTCTTCGGGGGCCGGGCCGAAATGGTCGGAAACTTTGTCGCCAACGAGCCCAACCAGGACCTTAACGGCCACGGCACCCACTGCGCGGGCTCAGCAGCGGGCCTCGGGACCGGCGTCGCTCCCGAAGCCCTGATCAGGGGCGTCAAGATCCTCAACCAGGCGGGAGCCGGCGGTGGCAACAGCATCCTCGATGGTTTTGAGGCCGCCTGCAAGGACGTAAAGAACAACCGGTTTCAGGGGAAGTGCGTCGTCAGCATGTCGCTCGGCACGGAAGAATCCGACGCGATCAATAGAGCCGCCGTGCAAATGACCAAATGCGGCTGCGCCGTCGTCGTGGCTGCGGGCAACGAAGACGTACGTTGGCGGCTCTTTCCTTGATCGAATGGCTGAAACTGACTGCTTTGCGTACAGAGAGATGCATCGGCCGTGTCTCCGGCCTCGTCCAGGGGCGTCATCACGGTCGGCGCCACGGACGTGCGGACGAACAAACTCGCCGCCTTCACCAACAGAGGCCCGGACGTCGACATCAGCGTTAATGGCGTCAACGTCATCAGTTCCGACGCAAAAAATGAAACCGGCCTCAAAGACCTGACCGGAACCAGCATGTGTGAGTTTTGCCCGAGCCCCATGGAGGCAGCTGGAGCCAAGCAGAAGCTGACACTGCGTCGTAGCCGCTCCCCAAGTTGCCGGCAAAGCACTCGAGGTCTTGAGCACTGGCAAAATCAAATGCAGCACCGACTGCACCGACGTCGTCAGGGAGGCTCTACAGAATCAAGCTAGACAAGAAAAGCCTATCACAGAGGAGCCAGGCGCTCTCAAAACTACCCCACTCCAGCTCAACACCACAGGGGAAGTGCCCGTGGATTTCAAAGGCCCTACCGCCATCGGCGCCGGCGGTCGAAAGGGTGGCGCCAGCCAGGGTGGCAATGGCCTTGGTGAAGAGAGTGCTGGCAAGGTGAGGAAGGGAGACAAGGGAGACAAGGGCGGTGCCGCTTGATTCATTCAAACCACGAGTAAGTTGGGATGGAGCAGGTGTGCGAAGAAAGGATGAGGGGACGAAATGCATACCAAAGTATTCAAGGACATATATTGATTAGAAGCAAAACTCAAAAGGGTCGACCATTGACCAAGAAATCAAAAGATAGCCAAGTAAGCAGCATCACACCGTGCCTTGACTGCCTTCCATGAGAGAGCACATCGAAGCGGATTCCATGCCCACCCGCGCCACTGGGCCCGGCAATCTTCGCTATTCCCACCGGAGAAGCGTTCTGTCCAGCGCAAACCCCCCACCGGAGCCTTGTCTTTTCGTTATGCCGAAGCCTCGGGCCGTCCGTGGTGACTCGTAGTTCGCATGAATATGTTGAGCTACGCTCAGCCAAGGGCCCTGACCTTGGCGGCTCTTCGCAAACAGGTAGGGCAGCTTGGCGGAGTATCTGGTTTCAGGCGCGCCCCTTCCCCATGCTTCCCACCACAGCGTCGGAAAGGGACAAACACGACTCTCAAGCCGTAGGCGTAGCGGCTCAGGGAAGACAACTCCTCTTCGGGAGAGCTTGAAGTTGGCTCTGGTAGAGAGGGTGGCGTTCTATATACCAGCTTCGCATAGCATTCCAAGACCAGAGACAGCGTCGTCCGGCCATGGTGCACGACGTCGTCTAGTGCCCGCTCGTGTCTCGGCTCATCCCTACCCTCCCCTTGCGGCTCCCTCCCGTGTGGGTCCTTTTAGAGACGGGAGACGTCAGGCCCCACAAGCTACGGTTTCACTCTTGGTCCACCGTGTGCCCAGCCTTTCGAGTCGAATGCGGTTTTGTGAGACTGGGCAGACGTGCACCCGCGCTAGGGGGGAGATGATGTGACCTTTTAATATATATATATCCACAAACCCTAGATCGTCTCCTACTCCGCGGGCGTAGAAGAGTAAGGGGCCGCCATGACCGAGATTAGCATCAACTAATGGAGCAACTCCTTTTGAAGAATACGCCTAAAGTGAATGCTCCAACGTGACAGCACAAAAGCCAGAGAACCTGGCAAAGCTCAGCCCGTTTCATCGAGCTAGACACTAGCATTATTCGGCTTGAGCAAGAGTCATTCATGGCCCTGCCATCACCACCTGCACCAATCACGCTGTACGTAGGGGAGAGTGGGAGATCGGGATACACATCCGCCCAGCAAGAGCCTCGGAGTGTGTTCGCTCGCCAACGAAGCAACGGCCCGGCGGTTCAAGTCCAGGGCCGATATCTCGCGCCGTGCCGCCCGGTCGGGCTAAGCCAAGAGCCATGTGAGGTTTGATTTCAGCACTTCTTCGGCACAACCGCTGTCATGGAAGGACGGGATTGCAATTTGACATCCGTGCTGGGCGAGTCCCGACAACGAGAGCTCACATCTGCGTTTTCCACGAGACTGGACAGGCCACCGCCCAAGAGAAAAGGCAAAGTTTGGCTGGTAATAAATCTCCTAGTATTATCAAAGGGTAAGTAGCGGGGCCCAGCAAAATATGAACAACTCCCGGATACGGCCCCGTCAAGGTATCGGAAGGTACTGTGTACGTCAAGAGGCATCGCCAATCGAGGAGCAAAACGGCCGAATACAAGACCACATGGTCGCACTATAGCTCGTCGCGTCTGGTGTTATTGAGGTTCTGGTTGGTAAAGAGCGTTTTCGTGAACCTGATAACATCCGACACGATGGGGAACCGAGCACCCATGAACCAGGCCATTCCAATCTGAAAGGAGTCAGCGATTGCGACCTCGATGGCCGTCTCATGGGTTTGCTCACCATGATGCTAGAGACAAAGAGCAAACAGAGCGTGACAATACCAAAAAGGACCAGGGTCTCGCCGGGATCCATCGTAGGCTCTTTCTTTTGTCTTTGGGCGTTCTCAACGGCGAGATTCTTGGGGTTTTGCCGGGGGTAGAGCGTCTCGATGAACTGCTCAATCTGCACACAATGTCAGCACGGTTGCTCTGGACTCTTAAGAGATGGCGGTACATACCTTGGCGCAGCGCACGCTTATGGCCAAGTAATTGGGGTCCCGGGGGTCGTTCTTTGCTTGTATCCGCCGGATATACTTCCGGAAGATCTCGCAAACAAGGAAAAGATTCTGAGTCGACTCGAACATGATCTGGCAGGCGTCTCCTTTGGTAATCTTGATATTTCGTTGCAAGACGGTTGGATTCCGGAACACGAGCTCGAGAGTGGCAATGGCCATGGTCTGCGGGATAGCAACAAAGTTGAAGACGCTCTGCTCCCGGATACCTGCCATATAAAAGAGGCATTCTTCCACATGGCCCAACGCATTGAGAATCATTTCCGAGACGCAGTGGATGGCTTGATCGCGATGCTGGGGGTCAAACAGATGTTCCCACTGGTCCACATGTTTGCTCCAGATCTCCTTGGGGTACCAGCGCCTCCCATCCCGCCAGTCCTCGTGGAGGTCGCGGATGATGTTGGTCTTTTGCAGTAACTGGCCCATGGACTCGGTCAGGGTCGGACGCTCCAGCAGCTTGGGGTTGGCGAGCTCCGATGTGACGAACAGCCGGGTCAGCCCCTCGCCGACGAGGCCGGCGACATAATGGCAGTAGAGCTCGTAATCCTCGACAGACTGGACGCCGTTCTGGATCATGTCTGCGTTTTGCGCGTAGTCGGCCATGCCGTTGCCCATCTTCTCCGCAATGTCAATGATGATGTCGGCGTATGCTTTTTTTATCCGCTTCATTTCCGTGACGACGACGTCATACTTTTCAAGCAGCTCTCTGTCCTTTTCCTGGCTCTCGTGGAATTGCCAACCGTCAATGAGCATAGTCTTGTGGAAATTTTGCAGCAAGGGAACTTTTTTCTCGATGGGGATGGTCATGTCATCCTCGATGGTGTCGAGGCCTCGTAAGACAAGGTAAAAGAGGGTGACGGGAACGAGAAGCTCGGGATTGAGCTCTTGAATGACGGCCGCAAAGCTGCGGCTCGTCAGGTTGAGAAAGCGGAAGCATTCTTGAAGGGTCTCGGTCTCAGACGTCGTGTCTCGTCTGTGTACGGGGTTGTGCCAGACCTTCCTGCGACAGGCGTTAGCATGGCGACGCGAAGTCGGGAGGTGCGGAACATGAGGGACCACATACCACTGAATGATTGACCGCAACTGGTTCGGGTGAAGGAGATAGTAGAGGGCTCCCATGGTCAGTAGCCAGCCCGACGCGAGGTTGACGAGTGGAAAGGGGGAAAAGGGGGAAAGGGGGAGGACGAGACTGGGGGAAATGCCCAACCGTTGTTGCACAGGAGGGTTCAGCCGAGTATCCACATGGATCAGAGCCCCAAGTCACACCCTAAGGGAACGTGGCTGCGGAAAATGAGGGCTGGATGTCTTGCGTGTAGGTGTATGGCGTCGTCAATCATGGTGGTTGGTGGCAGCGACGCGATGGATGTTTGGCGTGTGGGAAAAATTCATCAACTGAGCAGCTGGCGCCAGAACACGCACAGCCCAACTCAAGAAACTTGGTGTATTTCCCAGGTACCTTCAAGTACCTGGCACTGCCTGGAAAGTAGAAGCACTTTCCCCTAAGGGGTTCCCGCACAGCCTCCTCCTCTTCGACAGTGAGTGCTTTTGGAAGGGACAGAAAGGGGGAGAGAGATCTTCCCATTCAGCGTCGCAGCCACATGCAAGGAGAATGAGGCATGAAACTTGCGGTTGCATGCTAGCACGCTGCACATCCTGCACGAGTCCGCTGCTAAGTTACGGCCAGCACCTCATGTGCAAATGGTGAGGCAGTTGGGGTTTTGGGTACAGCTACTTGGAGGCATGACCCCCAGGCACCTCAGGCTACCTCGGAGTACAAGCCCAGCTTACGGTGGCTTGATTGGCACGGGCATTCGTTTACCCGAGGGTGAGCATTGCCACTGCGGTAGGTAAGGTACTTATCTGTACTTATGTACTCCGTACTGTAATCACCTTAAGGTAGGTACCTACTTCATGTACAAAAATCGTCTACAGTACATGCGGTTGGTGAAGATTGACGACCCTTGAGATCCGAAGCACCGATATGGGCACAGCGTCTCTGAATCTCCACACCGTTGTGGCAACTTCACTCGGGACAGGAGACCCAGGGCAGGTAGAATGCGACGGTTCTTGTGGACTGCATTTGGGCGGCCAAGACTCTCAACCGGCCCCTACACCTACAAAGGTGTCGTCGCAGCTTCCGGACTCGCCGATAGAGAATAACAGAATGCGCATGGCTATTGGGAACTTGAAAGCGAATAGCATATTTTGGAATTTCTTTGGGCTCCGCAGTACCAGCATCTTGGCGGTGAAGCGACCCCATTGCTCTGGGCAGGCGCGTGTCCCACAGTAGCTTCCGAGGAGGAGAGACGTCCAGCCTGGGCAGGTGGAAGGACGCGCAATGCCTTTTCAGAGGCTGTTCCTTCAGATGCCTTCTACTTCTTGCTGGCGAAGCCGATAGTCTGGCAAATCCATCTCAACACCACCAGCCCCGTCCCTCTTGGAGCCGGGACACTCGCGTATACACAGTCGTCAGCATGACTGGGTCGAACGGGACCAAAAACGGGCACGGCAATCCTCTCCGCTTCCTCGTCTGGGGCCAAGAGGGCTGGATTGCCGGCAAGCTCATGATTCTCCTCCAGGGCCAGGGCAGGGACGTGCAGGCCACCGCGGTCCGCATGGAGAATCGCGAGGCAGTTATCCAAGAACTCGCCAGAGTCAAGCCGACACACGTCCTCAACGCGGCTGGATGCACCGGCAAGCCCAACGTTGACTGGTGTGAGGACAACAAGGAGGAAACGGTGCGGTCCAATGTCATCGGGACGCTCAACCTGACCGACTGCTGCTTCCAGGCCGGGGTTCACTGCACCGTCCTTGCCACGGGATGCCTCTATCACTACGACGACGCCCATCCTGTTGGTGGCCCCGGGTTCACAGAGGACGACGAGCCCAACTTCCGTGGCAGCTTCTACTCCCTGACCAAGGGCTGCCTCGAGACAGTGAGTCGATGTCGAGGCGCCAACCCTCGTGTCAGTTTCATGACCTATGTTGCAGGTCATGAGGCACTACGGCAACTGCCTCATCCTTCGCCTTCGCATGCCCGTGGGCGACGACCTCCATCAACGCAGCTTTGTCACCAAGATTGCGGCCTACGAGCGCATAGTCGACATACCAAACAGCCACACTATTCTCCATGATCTCCTTCCCGCCGCCTTACTCCTGGCGGAGCACAAGGAGGTCGGCGTGTACAACTTCACGAACCCCGGCACCATCTCTCACAACCAGGTTCTTGATCTCTTCCAGGAGATTGTGCGTCCGGGCTTGACTTACAAGAACTTTGGCGTGGAAGAGCAGGCCAAAATTCTCAAGGCAGGACGCAGCAACTGTGAGCTGGATTCGACAAAGCTGGTCGCCAAGCTCAGGGAACTCGGCTTCGAAGTGGCTGAGATAGGTGACGCCTACAGGCAGTGTTTCAAGAGGATGAAGGCCGCTGGGCTTGAATGAGGCCTACCGTCTTGTCGCACCACATCCAGCGATGGTGTAGGGGGGTTTTGCTGCGATCGACTCGCTTGCTTGTGATGGGCTATTTTATGGGCAGATGACAGTTGTGCCTGAGATGTTTATTGACTGTGCTTTGAAGACACCAGTGTCATGCTTGTGTGTCGCCATTCTGCTGATGATGAGTTGCACATGGAAGGTCAATCGGTAGATGACCATGGGCCAAATCCAGTGCACTTGGAGGTTGTCTTCCCAATGAGAAGGAAACAGGAACAAAACACAGGCTGTATCCACGTCGCATCAGGGCATCATTATTAGTGAATACTCTTCTGACTTGTTCGGGCAAGTGCACGCACTCTAGGGTAGCTCGCGATCTCGGTGATCGCCGGTCCTGGAGAGCACAATCGCCACCGGAATCGAAACTCGTTTGGGCCGGCTCAAGCCATATTTGTTGTGCGACGCAAGGAAAACGAAGATGCTTTGAGTGCGGCGACAGATGCAGGCGGCCGAGAAGTGACACGCATAGGCAAAAGTTGGAAGGTCGAGGACGAAAATTTCCGCCATGCACTGCCCCGCCATTACGTAGCGGTCGGCGTTGTTCATTACTAGCTAATATTACATGTGTCTGCTGCCCATTCTTGACCCCGTTCTCGCAAACACTGCGCGACACCGACAGACCTCATCCTCCCTCCACTCAACGACGCTTCCCCGACCAAGCCATAGCCGGCCGTTTACACTTCCGCCCTGCCCAAGATGGTCGTGGACACGGCCTACTACGACACGCTGGGCGTCCAGCCAACGGCCACGGAACTCGAGATCAAGAAGGCCTACCGCAAGCTGGCCATTGTCCACCACCCAGGTTTGTCGCGTCCACTCCTTCGCCTGGCCGCTGCTGACGTGCCATCCCCCAACGCCCAGACAAGAACCCAAACGACTCGACGGCGCATGAAAAGTTCCAGGCCATCGGCGAAGCCTACCAGGTCCTTTCAGACACCGACTTACGCAAGGCCTACGACAAGTATGGCAAGGACCATGCCAAGCCCCAGGAGGGATTCGCCGATCCCGCTGAGTTTTTCACCTCCATTTTCGGCGGCGAGGCCTTTATCGACTGGATCGGCGAAATCAGCCTAATGAAGGACCTGACGGCCACCATGGACATAACCATGCAGGAAGAGGCGGAACAGGAGGCGCAAGACGAGCCCGATCTCTTGGCAGCGGATGAGGCCAAGAAGAAGAGCTCAACCGAGCAAAAGACGGGCCGGGACAGCGCCGACGGCGCGGCGGTGCCACCACCAGTGCCTCCTCGGCAACCAGCGCCACCTGTCGTTGTTATTGACCAAGAAAAGCCCACCACGCCCGCCGGCGGCTCGGGCACCGCCGGCTCGGCTGTGCCTCCCCACCGATCAAACGCAGCCTCCCCGACGCCGTCCTCCAACTCGCGAACCAAGACACAGATTCCCCTCCGCCCTGCACTCACCGACAAGTCGCACGACGACATCTTAGTCGATAGCTTCGAAGAGGCTCTGAAGCAAAAGGACAAGAAAAAGGGCGGGCTGACCAAGGAGCAGCGCGAGCAGCTCGCCGCGTTCGAAAAGGAGCGGGCCCGCATACGCAAGGAGCGCGTCGAGAGCCTCGCCCGCAAGCTGCTCGACCGCATTAGCGTCTGGACAGAGACGGACAAGGGCGCCGACGTGACCGAGGCATTCCGGGAAAAAATGCGCCTCGAGGTGGAGAACCTCAAGATGGAGTCGTTTGGCATCGACATACTCCACGCCATCGGCCAGACGTACGTCTCCAAGGCCTCGTCGCTGCTGCGCAGCCAAAAGTTTCTCGGCATCGGCGGCTTCTTCAGCCGTCTGCGCGACAAGGGCACGCTGGTTAAGGACACGTGGAACACCATCAGCAGCGCCATTGACGCGCAGCAGACAATGGAGGACATGGCCAAGATGGAGGAGAAGGGTGGCGACGACTGGACGGACGAGAAGCGTGTCGAGTACGAGCGCCGCGTCACGGGCAAGATCCTGACGGCGGCGTGGCGGGGCAGCAAGTTTGAGATTCAGAGTGTGCTGCGCGAGGTGTGCGACAGCGTGCTCAATGACAAAAAGGTCTCGCTGTCGAAGCGGTTAGAACGCGCGCAGGCTCTCGTCCTCGTTGGCGACATCTTTATCAAGGTTCGTACTCTGGGTCACCAAGCGGTTCAGCCCTTCCCAGCCCTTCCCTTTCCTTTGTTTCAGTGCCTGGGCTAACGTCTACGTTAACAGGCTGAGCGCTCTCCCGAGGAAGAGGGCGACTATCTCGTCTTCGAACAGCTCGTCGCCGAGGCCGCCATCAAGAAGGACAAGGACGAGGAGAAACGCAAGAAGGACAAGAAGGGGCGGGACACGGCCGCCCACCATCAACGCACCTCGGCCGAAGCGGCGGCGGCGGATGCGCCAAACGTGCCCAAGTCATAGGCATGCTGGGTCCAATGACAACGGTTCGCGGTCGCTGGATGCGAGGGTGAGGGCCACAAGGCGAGGGTGCATGCAGTGGAACGGGCAAGCGATTACACTTTGTTGTTGGTGGTTGTTTTACGGTGGCACTGGATTACGTGGACCTCTCCATACACTTGCCTGTTTGTTTGGTGGTTTTGCAGTTACGAGACGGGGCTGCGTCTCAGCGACTGGATTGACTAGAGTTGATTGCGATACAAGCTAATCTTTCTCGGGGTATCTCTACTCTGGTTGCTGTGTCTATACATGGGAATTCGAGGTGTACAATGGAACAGGAGCATCAAGGACTACTTGCGCCCGAGCCCACTCCAATCCTCTCTGCCTGGGCTCCGGTGGCCCATACCGCCGGGCCCGTCTAATCCATCTTGTCCATTTCGCTCTCCGCCGCCGAGTCGCCTACCGGCTCGTCCACCAGCAAGCCGATCAAGCAAGCCGCCAGCATAGTCTCGTAGTTGACCCAAGGATGCACTTCGCCAAACAGCTTGGTGCCATCGCGGCCGGCACCGCGCATCAACTCTGGAACACCGCCAGGATGAAACTGTGCGTAGGGGGTGATGTTGTAGACCTTGCCATTGATGGCCATCCACGCATCCTTGCCCTTGCGGCCCGTCTGCCTTTTCAGCATCGACGGCGGCACGCGCAGGTAGGGCATTTCGCGACCCACGCCGCGCAGGTCGGCGCTGCCCCCCGAGATGCGCGCCCAGTCGAGGGGCGAGTGGCCCGGGGCGAGGGTGACCTTGCGGTGCGGCTTCTGCGGCTTGGACGAGTGCGTTGGCGGAGGGGCGAGGCCGCCGGAGGGGGCTAGGGGCGAGGAGCCACGGTTGGGGATGGGGCCGCGGGCGGCGCGTTGTGGGGAGTTCGCGGCTGGGAATTGCGCGAGGGTCGGGACGCGGACGGGTAAGGGGGGAGGCATCACGGAGGCGGCGGTTGCGCTTGGCTTTGAGGGGCGAGGCGCCGATGACTCGTCGGAGAGGGAGAAGGTCGGGATAGGGTCGGGGTCCGGCTGAGATGCTGAGGCCTTGGGGGTTGTTTCGGGGCTGTCGGGCACGTCGATGGTCGGTGGTTGGATGATGGGTGGAGGAGGCATGGCTGCTCTGTCGTCGCGAAGCCGGTCAGATGAGGACGACTCTTCCGGCCTACCGGAAGACGACGGCAGCGCAGACGGGCCATCATCGGGTAAGCAGCCTGGGCCTGGTATCCTGAGCGCCGTGTCGGCATCGTCGTCGCGCCGCTTCGTCGGACCCGGAGCGGCAACGGGTGCCCGGAGGCCGAGCCAGCGGGAGAGCATGGGGGACAGCCAAGCGGGCAGGCGGACAATGATGTAGACTACCGAGGCGAGGATGAGGGAGACGCCCACGATGCCCATTGTCGCGCGGTGCAGGGCCGCCTTGGGGAGGTGGAGCGCGAGGGGACGAGGTGATGGTCAGAAAGGCCGTTGATTGAAAATCAAGGGTCCTTGCGTCATGGCCAAGTCGGGCATGTGACTGGCCGCTCGGCACAATGCGGAGTCTCGGAGCCTAGAAAGTATCTATACCTGCAAGCGTGTCTTCCAGGCGCTTGCAGTAGCGCGCGCTGCGGGGTCCATGGACGTACCGAGGACCTTGCTTGTCCGGGCTGCGCAACGGTGGAGCGTCCCGGGAGCCGCCTGTGGTTGACCGCCTCGATTATGCTTTGGAGGAAGAGGGACAAGTCGAAAAGGTTCAAGGTTTACATCAAGCGTCGGATGAAATGAATATGCCTGGTTACCTGGGTGTTGAAGGAAAAGCCAAGACATGCCATCGTCGGCCTTTGCCGATCATGAATTTTTTTTTTTTGGCTGCTGTTTTTGGTTGTTGAGTCTTGTTAGTGCAAATGCAAGCATCGGCCAAGCACGCAGATATACTTGGTACTTTGTCGCGACGCCCGCTCCCGGGTCGAGGCCGCAATCACGGACCAGCGCCAAGAGATGCCCAGAAGGCACGTACCGTACAATACCGTACAGAGTTACTATTCCTTTCTTTTCCCTGGCCAGGATGAGAAGCGATAAAACGCCAACATGCACAAGCACGATGCATGAAAGGGCGCACGGCAAAGGGATCGGCAGCGGGGGCGAGTGCAATGGAGGAACAAAAGGTGGGAGAGCCATGGTCCGGCCGCCCCCCCCGGCCTGATCCTCCGAGAGCGGAACGCGGGTGACAGGGTCTTGAAGCGCGGTTTTTTTCGTTTCTTTTTTAAAAGTCGGGGCATTGAGGGAGGGGGAGGGAGGGGGCGGGACAAGTCCGCATGAAAGTAAACAATGACCGGGAGATGAAGCCGTCGTCTGTAAACAAATCCCCCAGGGGTGGTATGCGGCTACGCACCAGCGCCCCTCCATACCGGCCTGGAAACAAGGCCAGGATATGAGTCGCCGTGGGGACGTCCGAGTTGGCAGCACCTCGGAGTGGTGGACCGTCGGTGGATGGATGATGGATGATGAGGGGACGAGGACGGACGGATGGATTCTTCCAGGGTTGGTTGATTACCGCCGCGATGGATATTGGCAGACTTGATGATGCACGCACACATACAAATACATGTTCATGCCCCATTGGGTTCGTTTATGCAGCCTGCCGTTCTCCTCCCCCTCGTCTGGCCCGGCTTGCCGCTATCGATTGGATGCCTGCTCTCTTGTCGTCGCTGGGTGGATGGATGCCGCCACATGCTCTTTTTTTTTCCGACGCTGCCGCCCAGGTCACGAGTAGGTACCCAAGCATCGGTTGATACCCAGCGACTGACACACCGGAGAGACTGCCAAGAGACTGAGTGAGCATTGTCGTCGTTCAGGTATGCGAGCCTCTGTGCTACGGAGGGCCCGGTAACCGGCAGTGTTCAGTTCTAGGCTAATCAGTGGGGCCCAGGGCACCTCTCGGTCCTCTTAGCGGCCTGCGCGTTCTTTTTAGGTGTTGCGGGTGTTTTGGCCCCCCCCGCCACCACCACTGGAAGTCGGACAGTCCAGGGCGAAAGGTACCTGCAGTCACTGCCTGGTGGGCTTGTTGGGCTTGGGTGGTGGCGCGGGCGTGGCCTGACGTTGGACCAAGAAACCCGCTGAAATGCCCACGCCCCCCTCCTTCGGGGCCTCGGCCGACTCACCACCACGGCGACCGCTGCTGCTCCCGTGCCAAACGGCAGCGAGGGAGATGCGTCGCTTCAACACGTCGTCGTCGTCGTCGTTGTCCAGCAGCTCTCCCAAGACCGCTTCCGCCGCCGCCGCCGCCGCCGCATCGCAGCCGCCTCCTCTGCCTCCTCCGTCCCAGGCCAACAGCCGCCATCGACCTGCCATTTCCATCCGCCGCCCCTTTCCCGCGCCCCGTCCAGACACCACAACCACCACCACCACCACCACCACCGCCCGACGGCCGCCCCCGAGACCCCCCTTTGCCGCCGCCCACCACCAAACCTTCCAATCCAAGACGGGGCCAAGACCGCCGGCCAAGACACCGTCGTCACCCTCTTCGTCTTCGAATCGTCGCCCGCCGCTGCGTCTCAAGGATCGCAACCAACAGCAAAATGCTCCCCTTCTGACGTCCTCCACCCTCGCCAGCGCCGCCAAAATGCCCGTCGGCGACAGACCCCGACAGCCCCAGCTCAGCGCTGCCGCCGCCCGATCCGCCAAACGCGGCCCTCTGACCCCCAAGATTGCCGCAAAGGGCCCTCCCTCGACCGCTTCCATCCCGCCGCCTAGGAGGCCGCAGACCATCCACCACCCGCGCGACGACGCTCCGACCCCCGTCTCCGGCCACGTCACTCGCCCCGGTGCCCGCCAGGGCCGCGTCGACAGCCTCAGCTCCGCGCCTATCGGTCCCGCGAACCACTACCACCCCGAACGACTGGCGTACGACGCTTGGGACAATGCCGGCGCCATGTCGGGCGTCGGGGGGACGCCTGGCTCGGCCAGCGGCGTCTCCAGGCAGGCGGGGGACTCGCCCGGCGAGCAGCAGAGCGACGGCCACAAGTTCTTCTACGCAAGCGACGCAAGGGCCATTCAGAGGCCCCTTTCCGTCCCTCAGAAGCCCGTGGCCTTCTTCTACGCAAACGGCGCCTCCGCCGAGGCCAAGCGAACCACGAGCCCGCCCTTGAACCAACCCTTTACCCCTGTCCTCCCCCCGACCCAGGAGCCCGTGGCCACCAAGTTCTTTTACGCCAACGGCACCCCCGACCCCCCCCCCTCAAAACACGCCCTGGCCACATCGGCGTCGGCGTCGGCCCTTTCGACGAGCTCAAGACTACCTCTTGTCCGTCCTGGAACGAGCAGCTCGGCCGCGGCTTTTACTGCCCCGGCCACCCAACGCCCAATGTCACCCATCAAGACGACATGCCCACCGACGAGCCAGCCTCTGAGCGCCAACCCCCTACTACCCACGTCTCCCAAACAACCGCTTTCGTTACAATCGTCACCCGCACTCGCACCGGTCCCGCATTCATCTGGCAAGAGGAGGGTGAGCATCGACACGGCCCCGAAGCTCATCAGACAGGGGCACTCGAGGACGGGAAGTGCCTCGGCCTCGGCCGTCGATGTACCCATGACATCCCGGTTTGCCGCCTCGCCCAGCCTGTCTCAGCCGGCCTCCCCCCCACAAAGCCCGGGGCTGTCGCAGCCAGCGATGACCATGGCTTCTCTCATCCAAGCCGCCGAGGAGTGGAAAGAGCGAGACACGGAAAGGGACGGAGACGCCCAGCCCGAGCTCTCGCAAAGTCCCACGAAGTCGTCGCACGCGGGGGAGCTCGTCAGCGAGCTCGTTGCCAACGCGCGACGAGAGCGCAAGGTCCAGGACCTCGAGATTACCAACGCCTCCCTCGAGGCCATCAACAGGACCCTCGAGAGGCAGCTGCGCAAGCAGACCATTGAGTTGCGCAGATACCGCCGTATGTCCAGGGCAGGGCACATCTCGCTCGCCTCTGCGGCGTCGAGCCGAGTGCCGTCGGCGGCCCTCCCGGACGTTGCAATAGATCTCTCGGGCGTGGACGAGGGGGAGGAAGCGACGGAAGACGAACAAGACGAGTACCCGGACTCGTTCGACGAATCCGATTTTTCCAGCAACGAGTCGCTGTCGGCCGACGCCTCGTCGTCGCCAAACGACAAGCTCGCGGCGCGGCGCAAGCGCGACGAGCGGCGCCTCCAGCTCGACCTGACCAAGCACCAGGAGCTGCTCGTCGACAGCCAAAAGATGAACCAAAGCCTCAAGCGGTGCCTCGACTGGACCGAGGTGCTCATCAAGGAGGGCCAGAAGGCGCTCGCGTACCAAGTGCGCGTGTCCGACGTGGAGTTTGGCGGGCGCGTCCTAGCGCCGCTCGACGAGGACGATGAGGCCGATATGGACGACGACGACGGGCCCAGCCTGGGGCCCCCGCGGACCAAGGGATCGCAAGACCGAGATAGTGGCGTCGAGCTTCCCGGGGACGGCGGCTAGCGTCTCTGATCTTTTGCGTTGTTGGCCCGTGGCAGCCAGGATACTCGCCGCTTGCTGGTGACGATTATTTGCCGCCCGTCCAGGCACCGCTTCTCCCGATCCCATCTTCTCTCATCTTGCTTTCTCAGCATTCTCATCCGCTCTCTCGCTTCTCACTCCTCCTTTGTCGACATATAATACACAAGATCATTCACCAAGCATCAGCGCGGCAGGACCATACCGGAAACGGTCGCATCTCGGAGTCTACGGCGCGATTTCGGGACTAGACTTGGGCCAGCATCGAGCGCCTTGCTTCTCCATGCCTTGTTTTTATTTTACCTGTTTCTCGCGCAACAACTGGCGCGGAAGCGCAGAGACGGTTGCGCCCGGCGTTTTCTCTTCTTGCCTTCGTTTCCATTACTTTTCATTCTCGGGGCGGGACGTTCCCCTCTGCTTATACCTTGATGAGCTTAAGCCTCGTCCATGTCCTCAAACGGGGGGGGCACTCATCATGACTTTTGGGCGGCGAAGCGCGCAGCGTTTCTTTTCTTCCACATCTTGTTACACTTGCATCATACGCCCTCTCCCCTCCTTTTCCTTTGTCACTTGCATGTGTGTGTGGCCTTTGCACAGTAGATAGAGATATCCAGATACCCACGTCCGGCGGAGAAGAAGAGAGAGCCCCGGCGACGGAGGAATTGGCGGCGATGGAGGCAAGGCAGCGGTTATTTTTGCCACGAGGGGCGAGGGGCGAGCGCCGACGCGGATTTTGCACGAGGCCATGTACCGTGAGATAAGAAGGCTGTACTTGCGCAAGGCGGAGGGGACACACAATGGGCCCCGTGTGAATAGCAGAGTCGTCTTGCAGAAGACAAATACATCATCTACTGAGTGACGGGACGAACCCGTCTCAAGACGAGGGAGGCCAGACAGGGGGGATATGGCAGGGCAACAGAGGTCCCAGACCCTATCTTCTCCGCCCAAACCTAAACTTGAGCTCATCGCCGCTATCGTCGCTGTCCGTCATCTCGGTCCTCCGCGGCGCCGTCCGGGGCCTCTTGCCGCGGGGCTCCGGCGCAGGCTCCGGCGCGGCGCGCTTCCCCCGCCCCTGGCTTGTTTGCCGCGAGGACTGGCTGACCGTGCCGCCCCGCCGCGACTGCGTCGCGCTCACGCCCCGACTGCCCGTGCCGATGCGCCTAGAGCTCGCAGCTGCGCCGTCGGCGTCGGCGCCGCTTGCTTCCGCGTCGCTGGAATCCGACACGACCAAGGCCGTGCTGCGGGTGCGCGACGCCGGCGGCGGCGGCGGCGGAGCCTCGACGGGCGTGTCCTGGTCGGGTGGGCGGGACGGGGCCGACTTGATGCGGGCGCTGCCCTCGTCCTCGAGCCAGTAGTTGTCGCCCACGCCAAACTCCTTGTTCTTGACCTGCGTCAGGGGCACAATGACCCTCGCGGGCTGCCGGCCCGCCGCCTCGCCCCTGCGCCGGAACTTCTTGAAGTTCTTGACGCCGTTCCATTTTGGGTCCCACCGGCCGTCGGCAATGTCCTGCTCGCGCGTGCGCGCGGCCCCGCCCGGCGTGCGCACCTCCATCTCCTCGACGATGTTGAGGCGCCGAATCTCGGCGAGGTCGACGTCGGCGGGCAGCTGGGCGAGGTCTTCCCTCTCGGCCCGGGCACGCGCCTCCTCCTCCTCGCGGTGAAGCGCGGCCATGGCCAAGACATCAATCTCCTTCGCTTTCCGCTTGGTCTGTGCTTTGGCGGCCACCGAGGGACTGGGCGACGCGGCCCCCGGGGACGGCGATGCAAAGGCACCGGCGTGCTCAAGCCGCTGCCGTTTGAACCGCGCAACCGCAGGGGCCATGCCTTGCATCAAATCGTCCTCGAGCAGAGATGCTGCCCTTCTCCGTGAGAGCCCTGCATCCATGGCTTGCTGAGACTGAGACGCGCCGGCTTCTTGCGAGACGAACATGCCGCCTTCATCTCCCCCTTGCACTGGATGCTCAGGCTCCGGGAGCTCGGCTGGGGGCGGCTCGTCCATGTCGACATCGACATCATCATCGAAGCCCGCAAACCGCCTCTTGACGGGTCGCCGTTTTGTGCCTCGCTTGATGGCTGGCTGCTGCTCAAGGTCGTCCTGAGGCTCTTCTTGGGGGTGGGGTGCTTCGCCTTCATTGGGACCAGGGTCTGTTCGCGCGGCCTCGTTCGCAGCTGATCCTGTCATCGGCGGGCCAGACACCGACTGAGACTCGACCTCGAGTGGTCGACGCAGCTTACTCGCGTCATTGGTGAGGATGGCCTCGAGAAACTCATTCTGTTCAATGGGCCGGTGGTCGAGTCGCAGCGACACAGCGGTGAGGAAGTTGGTGTACCAGCCGACCAAGTCTCCCTTGCCTGGCAAATAACGCACCAGAACTACCCCCTTCCCTTCGCTGCCGTCTTCGAAGCGGCCGAGTCCCTTTTCCCCCGCCACCTCTTTCACATATCGCACAAAGTCTTCGACGAGCTCCTCGCCGGGAGTGATTGTGTGGAGCATGGCCTTTCCGTAGCCGTTGGTGATGGGGGCTAGGAGGTTGTTGTACTGGGTCTTGTCATAGAAGATGAATGTGTAACCGTCGAAAACATCCTTCCGATTGAGGTCAGGGGCGTAGATTTCGTCGGGATGCTGGACGGGCTCGCCACCTCGAGGTGGCAAGTGCTTCATGGGGTCCGGCCAGCTCAGCGAGAAGTGATCCTCCAAGGGGCTGGGTTCTGCGCCGTCGGCGGCGCCTGGAGGCCCCGCGGCCTGAGCAATGGCATCGAGAAAAGTTTCGGTTACGACAAACTTTCCGTTGATGAGAGCCTGGAGGCCCTTGGCAGTGTTCCTCTTCTTGGAGACGACATGGGTGGTATGCCCGATGTGATAGTCGGTTGAAAGTTTGATGTCGAGATTCTCGAAGCGCTCTTGCAGGGACGTGAGCGGCTCCGTTTGGAGCTCTTTGTTGGTGAAGGAAAAGGTCAAGACGACGGGGAACCATTTTATGCTATAAGTCAATTAGCGGCCGCCTGAGACATGGGAAAAGGAAACAGATAAGCTAGAGAGGGGAACCGGCGGAAGAGGTCGTACTAAAACTTGCTCGGGCACTTCCCCATCGTCATCTCCACCTCGGGGCCGTCGACGACATATTTGCTGCCCTTGATCTTCTGGCCATTAACAACGGTCCCTATCTTGGTCGCCAGGTCCTCGATTGTCAGCCTGGAGCGGCTGGAAAGGCGGCGTGCGTGGTCGGCCACAACATTGTCGACGGTAATGGTCAGGTGCTTGCGCGAGATGGTGTTGTGGGAGACGGCGAGTTGGCCAGCTAAGCAGACGTGAATCAGCATGCGTGTGTCGAGCGCGTCTTTGGGGGTCGGACGGAGGGTTCTCACGCTCTGCTGCAGTCCTGCCAAAGAGGTATGTCTTGCCCGGACGCAGCCAAAGCTGTCGTCCTGCGTGATGGTTAGCAGCGTAGCTTACAGACGATGCACGGGGGAACCAAAGCCGAGGTTATGGAAAGGGGGATTTGCCTTGGAATATCTCTTCATTTTCCAGGAGCCACATGTTGACAGCTCGGCGTCGTCAGAAGAAACCACTCCACGACTCGGGGACCCGCCTGGCGCGCCCGATGTTGTGGCCGAGTCCTGGAGCTGGACGGTGTCAAGCCTATGCGTGACGTGACGTGACGTTGGCGGCGTCGTCAACCTTTTGCGGGGCTGCAGAAACGCGTCTCGACGCCAGGTCACGTGCAGAACTCGCGCGAGGTGATTACTCATTGAGCCGCAATTCAAGGCTGACTTCAACCTCACTTTCATCGAGGCGGACTACTGGTATGTCGCCGGCAGACTCTGTTGCGTGAATCATATGCTAAACAGTTCGTCGCAGCCTTTTCAGTCATTCTTTGAGGCGCAGCACGGCCACCGGAATAGCCATCTCCGTCAATGACTTGCTTTACCGCCCGAGAGCGTCTGATGGCCTAGATCCAGGTTTGCTACAAGATGACTTTTACGGAACTTTGCTCGTCTACCAGGACCAATCCTCGGGGATCAGAGGCCATCGACGCACGAGATTCAACTTCATAAACGCTTACGATCAGGCCGCGCACAGGAACAACCTACAGGACCATCAAACACCAGCCGGGCCTGGGCCCAGTCATTCCTTGCAAGATCTCTTTTTATTCATGTATCCAACATGTCATGGCTGCTGACGGACTCACCCATGGCAAGGCGTACGTGAGAGGGGTATCAAGAATGATGGAAAGAAAAGGGGTTGACGGCGACCGAGACTACTACACCTTGTTCACCTTCAGGCAGTCGGCAAGCATCGTCTTGCGCCCCGACTTGCGGCTTTTGGCGTTGAAATCTTCGTTGCTTTCCGCCTTGGCGGCATCAATGTGCTCGGGTGCCTCGTCGGTCAGCCGCGCCATCTCGCGCACCTGACCAATCTTCCACCCCCGCAAGACGACGAGACAGAGAGCCGCTGAGACAAACATGAAGCCGGTGAAAAGCTGGGTGCCCAGGTAGCCGCCGGTGCCGGCAACGATCTGCAGGGCAATTGGCTCGCTGAAGAGGCAGGGCAGCAGGATGGTGAGCCAGATGAGGCCGAGGGCCGAGGGCACGCGCCGCAGCCCCACAACCTCGGCGGTGACGGGGCCGATGGAGGTCCAAAAGGTGCCGGCGACGCAGCCACAGACGATGGCGAAGAAGACGAGCACGCCGTACGAGTCGGCGTTGATCCAGATGGCGAGGGAGAAGAGGCCGGCGAGAAAGGTGGTCAAGGCCGACATGTTGATGCGGCCGGTGCGGTCGCTGAAGTAGCCGACAAAGGGCCTGCCGACGGCCTGGCCCAGGTTGAAGAAGGCGCTGACGAGGGCGGCCTGGGAGGCGCCGAGACCGATCTGGTTGGCGTAGTTGGCCAGGCTGAAGATGAGGACGACGTAGCCGAGCATGCTGAACCAGCCAAAGGCAAGGAGCAGGAGAAACTCGGGCCTGCGAAAGAGGGCCGTGTCAAAGGCAAGCTGGCTCGAGCCGATGATGCTGTTGCGGTCGCGCAGCAGGAGCGTGCAGACGACGTTGACGACGAGGGCGAGGATGCCGAGGATGCGAAAGGCCCATGCGAGGCCGAGGTTACGGATCATGGCGCCGGCGGCCAGCGAGTAGAGCAGGCCGCCGAGGCCGGAGCCGCATGCCGAGATGCCGTTGGCAAGGGAGCGGCGGGTGCTGAACCACTGGGGCACGATGCCCACAGAGGGGATGAACAGGAAGCCCATGCCGATGCCGAAGAGGACGCCCTGGGTGAGGAAGAGGTGCCAGATGCGGCTGGCGAAGCTTGCGCAAACCAGGCTGGCTGCCTCAAGGACGGCGCCGGCCAGCATGGTGGGCTTTGTGCCGATCTCGCGGACGCAGACGGTGGCGACGGGGGAGACGAGCAGCGCGCAGCTGACGCTGAGGGAGCCGACAAAGGCGTAGTCGAGGGCCGAGGCGCCGGGGAAGGCGTCGTTGGCGAGGTAATGGGCGAGGAAGACGCCGTAGCTCGAGTTGAGGCCCCACGTGTGCGCGTTGACGGTGGCGACGCACGCCGTGCACACCCAGCCGTAGCCGCCATCCGGGGGCGGCGGCGGGCCGGCCGGCTCGGGGTCCCCCGGACTGCTTCCCGTCGAGAAGGTAGAGGAGGAGGAGGGAGACGACGTTGGTAGTCCGGCGTCGATGCCCTTTTCTGTCTCGGCGAGGATGCCCCTCCGACCCGCGGCGTCGCCGGAGCTGTTGCGGTCGACGGTGACGGATACCGGCTCGGGGTCCGGGGCAACACGGCCCGGGCTGCTGGGTTTCTCTCCGTCCGGCTCCATGCTGCCTCGCCCGTCTCTTTGCCTGACGTCCCGCGGCCTGGCCGGAATCTTTCGGTGAGTTTTGCTGGAGCTAGTAGTGGACAACGGAAAGTAGACGAGGAGAGGAAGGGGGGGACGGGGACGGGAGAGGCGGATAGTCCAAAACACAACGATGCGGAAGCAACCTCAACTTCTCAGCATCACTCATGAAAAAAAAAGGAAAAGGAAAAAAGAGACGGCCCTTCGAAGTGCAGATGCAGTAGAAAGACCCTAAATTATAGCCGAGTGAATAATCATCCTGGACGGATCGCCCCCCCCCCCCAAGCCCACACATCCGTGACTCGCTAGCCGTCCGAGCACCGCGGAGCAAGACGGGAATGAGCATGGGAATAGCAGTCGATCCAGCACTAACTTAAAACAGGGTCAGCAGCGGCAGCCGGTGGTCCCCTGGCGGCTGAAGAAATGGGCGGCCCAACCATCCCTCCGGCGGCCGGAGTTGGGCGAGCCGCGGCCGGCGAGAGAAAGTGGCGGCGCACGCAGTTGAGAGCCCGCCGGGCCTGCTGCGTCCTGTCTCGCGCCGTCTTTCCCATTCACGGGTTTGCGCCTCTGCTCTGCAGCGGGACACACGTCCAAGCCCAGCGCCGCCTCCTGCTCGTGTATGACATTTCCATTGTGAAAAAGCCAAAGGCAAAAGGGCTGAGGCATCGGGGATACGCCGCTGGAGGGTGGCAATGCGACTCCCCCTCCTCCCCACCCGACCTTTACTGTACGAATGCGGAGTCCGAGACTCGGCCAAAGTACGTAAAGAAAGGCCTTTTTGTCGTCATGCGCGGGACCCCCAATGCCGATTCGTTTTTTTCTTCCCCCGCCAATAAAAGCCTCTTCTTCGACCTGTTGGTGCAGATATCAACGTCGCCCTCGTGCTGAACCAATGGCATCTCGGCAAATGGTGGCCGGACGTCTCCGCCTTGTACGAAGTAGAGGCAATTTCTTCATCCAAAGCTGGCCTGTTGGCGTATTATATATGTAAGGTGATATAGCAAGCATGGGCGCGTGACGCCAAGGCGCTCCACTCGAGGCCGTCGTGGGCATCGCTCAGGCCGGTAGTTTTCTCCAATCCGCTTCCCTCCCTCTCTCCAAATCCCCAGGTATCATGGTCCGTCCCGTGTCCTCATAACCGCCAAAACCCAAAGCACAAACGCCCTTCTGCTTCCCTCTCTTCTTCATTTATACATGTATCGGGGGATAAATGGCAGCCGCGGCTCCTAAGCCTGGGCGCGCTCGCTCTTGACGCCGCGCAGCTCCCGGCCCTTGTCGGACCAGGGGAAGTGGAAGACGGGGACCTGGAAGAAGGAGTTGCTGTGGAACAGCAGAGTTAGCGTGGGTGCTCGCATGGTCCGGGACTGTGCGGCTCGAGGCCGTGGCGACAGAAATGGAGGGCTTACCTGCTGTCTTGGATACCGGCCAGGGCATTGTACCAGGCCAAAAAGGCAGCCAGAAAGCCAAAGAAGCCGCCCGTCTTCTGCAGGGCGAGGCCGGCCGTCTTGTTGCCCATGTCGAGGGCGTACTGCTCGGTGGCGAGGAAGAGAAAGGCCAGGTCGAGGGTGAAGAAGAGGAGGAAGAACATGACGGTGGAGCGGAGGGTGCAGAGCAGCAGCAGGGTGGTGAAGATGAACCAGCCGGTGAGGAAAAAGCCGACGGGGCTGTAGACGTTGCCGCCGTAGGGCCCACTGGCGGCCGTGATGCCCCAGTTGGGGGTGAGGAGGATGGCGTACGAGATCCAGAAGCCGCCGTACGACGAGAGGGCCGTGGCACCAAACGTGTTGCCGCAAGCAATCTCCCTGGGGTGGTGGCGGTGGTGTGAGCGACGACGACGACGACGACGGTGAGCGGCGAGGAGAGAGGATGGGGGAGCTTACCACATGCCGGCGAGCAGCTGGACGAGACCGCCGTAGGCAAAGGCCAGGGGCACGACAATGTTGGGGGCCGAGACGTCGCGGGCGTGCATGTTGATGGCGGACAGGACAAAGGTGGTGAGGGCAAAGGCGCAGAGGCCGAGGGGCGCCGGGTTGGCGAGCTTGCGGTGCTCGTAGGGCCGCCACAGGCCGGGGTTGAGGGTGCCGGCGTCGGCCTGGGCGAAGCCGGAGTTCATGTGCGAGTAGTCGTGGTGGTGATGGCGGTGGATGTTGCCGTTGCCCTCCTTTTCCAAGGAGGAGGGCGTGAAGGAGGCGGCTTCGGCGGCCATTGCGAGGAGTGAGAGTGTGCGGGTGGGTGTTGTTTGCGAGTGGGAGCTGCGCCGGCAGGAGGGGAGCTCGGCTCTCTCTCTCTGTCTCTCTCTGCCTCTCTCTCTGTCTCTCTCTCTGGATGCCCGGGGGGTGAGGGCGGTGTTGATGGGCGAGTGTGTATGCGTGTGTGTACTACTAACTGGGTGTAAGTGAGAGGAGGAGTGGAGAAGAAGGAGAAGACGAGAGAGCCATGCGGGGAGAAGTGGGAGGGACCGGGGGATTATAAAGTAAAGATGGACAACAAAAAGCCGACAAGAAGAAGAGGACGAGGAAAAGAGGCAGATGAAGCGGGCGAGCAAGAGGAGGGAGGGTCGCATGGGATCGGGGAACCGTGTAAGACCAGAGAGAGACGCGGGCATGGCCATGGGGTAGTAGGTAATACAGGCGTTCTGGGGCGGGCATGTACCGGGATGGTGCGTATTTGTGAACAAGACGGGGGTACGAGGGGACCGGGGCCCTGTCGGTACCGGGCCGGGATGTACCACGTCTCGACATGTTTAGGGTTGTCGGTACTGTCTGTACACGGAGCCCGGAGCGGCAGGGACCGGCGACGGCCATGTGCACAGCCGGAATGCCTACCAGCATGTACCCGGCACGTACAGCCAGTACATGGCACACATGCCCTAGGGCTCCAGCTTACAGTGGAATCATATTGTAAGTAGTACTAAGTTACAGCGGAAGCTTAATTAAAGCAGTTCAGTCAAGTCAGTCAATCGGTGCACAGCCAGCCAACCCGCCCAAGCCTGCTGCCGGCAGAAAATGTCCCTCCCCCTTTTCCCCCCCTCGCTACTGGAAAGAGAGAGAGAGAAAGAGAGAGGAGGAGGACGGGCGCCTGGCACGGAGATGAGCGCAGGAAACTTGCAGCAGGACGGGCGTCTCGGCGGTGGTCCCATCGATGCAAGTCAAAAGTGCGCAGCGAGGGCCGGGGTACCTTTGAGGTACCGCGGTAATGGGGAGGCGAAGGCTGTTGGTTGTAGATATATAATAGGTAGTACCTACTACTACCTAAGTAATAGTCAATGCTTGAGAACAGGCCCACTGGATTGCCGAGAGGGCGGGCGGGCTGGAGTAGTAATTACAGTTGTGTTGTCGAAGTTTGCGTTACAGGCTCGTTGATGAAAGAAGAGCAAGAGGGAATAGTAAGTTGCCAATCAGACTACGCAAGGGAAAATAAAGTGCAGTGAAAATAAAAAAAGAATCGACTTGTGTGTCTCAATCCCCGGGTCCCCAGACTTTTCTCAGCCGCCGCCAATCGAGGTCCGGCCGAGGAGACTGACGGCCTGTCCCCGGGCGCAGGTACTGCGATGCGGGCTCCTTTTACAGGGGCCTCGTCCACTGCGCTCCCTCTCACTCTGCCCAGCCCGGCCACCGCTGCATGGAACAGTGGTCGCAGGTGGTATTAGCGCCGCGTGCCTACGGTAGGTACATTCCGGTACATGCGGCGCTGCACCTGCGCCGAGCCAGGTATGTAATACCTCCCCGACGACGTGCTTCCCAGGGAGCCTCTTCATGTACGGATACATGGTGCATGCCTCACTTGACTTTCACTGGACTTTCACTGGACTTTCACTGGACTTTCACTTGACTTTTTTACCTCTTCTCCCCATCTGCCCGTGAGCCTCGCTCTTCTTGCTTCCTTGTTACAATCTGAGAGGTACAGTACCTGCTGAGAGGGTGGGGGCCTCGTCTCCATCGCCAACCAGGCCCGCCCATAGTCAAGTCCGGCCTCTCGAATATAGCCGTGGCCTGGTCCGGACAGCAGCCTTTTGTCCAAGGGAAAACGGAATCATGCCTCCCCGGCCCTGCTCATTCGACAAGTGGCGAGCAAAACGCACGGCGCCCCGTTCCCGACCAAGAGGAACCGTTACATTGCATGCGTCGCACGCACGCCGCACGTCCTCTGCGCGCGAGAGCGAGGGCTTGCATGCGCGTGGTGGTGCATGGGCTCCCTTTCCGTGCCTGCATGAGGTGACAAAGAGAAATAGACGAGGACGAAGCGAAAAGAGCAGCGGTTCATCTCACACACTCCGGGGAAGAAGAAGAAGAAGAAATGGCCCCGTGAACCCGGGGTGGAGCAGACGTGGGTGCGTGAGTGGGCGCGCCCCTATCAAGCGCGTCCGCCGCCGCCGCCTTACACGGCCGCATAATACAGGGCCAAGACGCCGCGTTTCGTTTGCGGCCCTGTCACGCGAGCCCCCGTCGGCGTGGGGCGTCGGAGAAGCAGAGAAGAAAACGGATGCAAAAGGCAAAAACCACACGACCGCCTTGCCCGCTCCTGGACGCCGGCCGAGAGTCTATAGCTTGACCGCCGTGCGCGTCCAACCAAAGCTGCAGAAAAGCAGCAACCATGTCCCATTGGCAAGCGAATCAAGGTCCCGGAGGAGCATGTTTGGACAAAAGAAGACACTCTTTCCTTTGTTCGGCCTGCTGCTGCTGTGCTACCGAGCGACCATGTTTCCCCAGGCCGTCACATCTCGACTGCGCAGATGCGGCCAAGAACCAAACCCCTCCCCCCCTCCCTCGCTCACTTCCATCCTCTCTGCCCAGAGAAGGCAGCAGCAACTGCTTGTTGGCCTCGTGTGTCTCGTGTCAGCCATGTGCCGGGGTAGCAGCAGCAGCAGCAGCAGCAGCACCACCACCACCACCACCACCACCGGCCGTGGCTTATTCTTCCTCCTCAGACGCCTCCGCTCCGAACCATGGGACCGGCCAAGGCCAGGGACCGACCGACCGAACTGACCGACTCTCTCTTTGTCCTTCCTCCCCGCGTACATAGGCTAGACTCCCCCATTATAGGCCACCTATCGTGCTCCGCATCCCGGCTCGGCTGGCCGCCGCCGCCCCCGAAATCCAAGACATGTCCGTCTGTGGAGGGAAAGCCGAACGATCTGCCGAACGCCTCCCCCCTCCCCCCTTTCCCCCTTGTCCTCCCCTCCCCTCCCCTTCCCCTCACCCCACCATGAAATCTCCTTTTCTCTCGTCCTCTCTTCAGCCCCCCCCCTCCCCCCTCCCTTGCTGCTGAGGCTGATGCAAGCCAAGGCACGGCAAGCCAAGGTAGACTTATTACAGGGGGGCAAACATGTGTCGTCCTCGTCCACATACATGTATATGTATGTATGTACCTACAGCAGTCGATACATTGACGTGCATGCGGTGCTTTTTCGTGTAGATGAACACACCCTCCACCGTCTCTGCCGAGGCTCAGCTCGCCCCAGCCTCGGGTCCGTCTCGTCGTGGCGTCACCTCGGGAAGGCCGCTTTTGCCCTGAGGGCGAGACAGACGAGGCAAGAAAAAGGAAGAACAAGAACAACGATTCCTTTCCATCATCAGCAAGGCTGTGTAGCCATGTAACAGATATGCACCAGCCGGTCTTTCGGTCCCCCTTCTCCCCGGATATGCTGAACCTCAAACAAGCATGACTCGTTTCTGCCGGCCCCTCATCTGATTCCTCGACTCTCCAGAACATGGATCGCGTGATATACGGCAAGTCTAGCGCCACATCCGTCCTCCTGTGCTTCGTACGGACGAGGTAGCATCGTCCTACGTAGAGGCACGTAGAAAGGCAAAGTTTCTTCCCTTTCGCGCGGCAAAAGCAACGAGCAAGACAAGCAGTACAGCTTCCCGGCTTCCTTTTCTGCTGCCTTGCCTGCTTGCTTCTTCCTCGGCAGTCTCGGTGGCGCGCCTCTTCGCCCTTCTTCATTGGTAGCGACATTACGGCCAGATCCCCACGTTCTGCCTCTTCCCCTTTCTTTTTCTTCGGCTTTTCTTCTTACGACTAGCCTGCTCCCCCATCTGACTCTAGGGCATCGTCTTGGTAACCAATGACTGGGGGTCGCGGCCGTCGTCATCGCCGCCTCGGGCAAAGGGCGAACTTCCGCCATGACGGACAAAAGCGTCCTTCAGCTGCCTCTCCCCCGCACTCCCATCCGGCCGGGACGGTGATCCTGGTCCGGCCCGGCAGTCACCAGACATGCATGCGTGTGTGTGTAGGCAATCCTCCTACCCTCATCACCACCGCCAGCATGGCTCCCTTGATCCAGCCGCGATCCCGCCCCCAAAGACAGGATCCATGTCTCACCGTCTTCTCCCTTGTTTCTCGTCTTTCTTTTTCTTTCCCGCGTGAGAACCACCAAGCAAGATGGACTGATTTCCAGTCCCCGGCATCGTGTCTCGGGAGCCCGTCCGAAGAGCACCATCCGTCGCTCTTCTTTTCCCAGCCACGCATTCCCTCCTACAGGCACCCGCGTTTTCTCTTTCAGTCCTCACTGCTTCCGTGCCGGATGATGCAGCAAGCAAACCATCGTCAGCATCCACCCGTCCGTCCACGACATACATACTGCAACCTACTCACAACTCACCCACACACACACGCACGCATGCCATGGCTTGAACTTCCATTGATCCGGCGCCACCAAGACCCCCCGACCGAGCGCTCGTGCCGCACATGCAACTGTCAGTCTGTACTCCGTGTGTTATGTGACGTATGTCTTCCGTACGCTCATGCCGTGGCACCATGACGACGAGCGGAATCCATGCCGAGCGGGCAACAGAGCACCTCGTCTATTCCGTCCGTCAGCCGCCGTGCACCCGTCACGGCCCATGTCGAACAAGCACGGCCCAAGCATGCACGTAGCCTATTTGCACTCGAGCGCACCAGCACTGTTCCCCGCCCGGCTCGGCCGAAGGACAGGCAAAGCCGTGCGCCGCCAAGCAACAGGAGCCAGAAGCTAACGCATCTAGAAGCCAACGTTCGAATAAACTATTTAAAAAAAGAAACGCGTCCGTCTGTCCGATCCGGGGACCCGGAAGAGAGGCGATTGGCTGGCCTCGACGCACCGTGCAGACAGCCATCCGGTAAGCGATGCTATTCTGACCCGGAGCCAGTAGAGTCGATGGGGGCCGTCGCCGATCCTGCGCCTGCCTTTGTTCCTCTCCTTACAGTCTCTCTTGGCGATGGAGCGGCTGCCCATGTGGCTGTCACAACTACCATGCACGGCCGTTGTGATGCTAGCATACACGGATGATGCACTTTGCATGCATGTATGACTGCGGCCTTTCTACGTACTGCAACAGTGGCACCACATGCCGCAGCGAAAACAACAAGTCCTCTCGCCGCAGAAACAGTAGACAGCCCGTGTCCGCACATGGCCAGGGCATGTCCCCGTCCGGAGGCCACGATGCGGAGCCCGTCCGGCCCCACGATGCGCTTCTCGCCGATCCCCGGCCGACCCCCCGGCCCCGGTCCGGCCCTTCTCAGCGTCGATTAATCGTCCGAGTATCTCCGCCTCTATTCGCCTTTTGCGTATATTTCCCTGTAATCGTCTTCAAATGGCCGCATTCATCTCCTGGTGTATGCATGCATGGCAATGCCGGGCGCCACGAGGACTGAACGCCGCTCCAATGCAACTACTTGTCCGCTCACACGACAGTCGTCGAATGAAATCTGCTTCTCTCCCCATCGCCCAATGCCCGGGCGGCCATCGTCCGACCCTGGGCTTTCCGACGAGAGGAAACAACGTGGCAAGCCGCGAGGGCATCGTGCATACCATGACATGTAAACCGCCATGCCGGCCCCTGAACTGCCCACTTGCACTTTCTCCCTGTCGTTGCAGCGACACAGTACACAGATGGATGCAGGGCATGCAGGGCACACGAGAGAGCGCACGGCTTCAAGTGACGATTGGCATCAATGTACATACCTATCTAATCCGACGTCTTCCTCGGCCACGGCCACCATCCCTCCAACGGCTTGTCGTTATATATTGCGTTGAAGCTATTTGCAGGACAAGCCGACTCATACCCGTATATTTCCTGTGACTTCTCATTAAAGGCAGTGACTCTGTATACCTTGTCCAGCGAAAGATGGTGCAGCCTGATCTTTGAAAGCACAGACGTCTTGCGGGCGTACACCACGAGAATCGCATTCCAATGCCTTCTTCCGCGCCTCGATACATCCATGAGATGGTAGATGCGACCGAAAATCCAGCCACGGCTGCGCGCATACCCTGGGATTTCATTTTCGTCCAGGATGAAATGCGAGCATTCTGTTCGCACATTGGCCTCGGAGAAATGGAAACCCTCCCTCATGAGACGGGGCACATTGCCGTAAACGAATAGATGGGCTTCCCAGTCCACGTCTGGGTTTATTATCTCTGTCTTGACATCTGACCGCAATGTGACGCACATGTCTTGTTGTCCAAGTTTCTGGTGAAGAGCGCATCCGCCCAATTTCGCGTCCGCCACCGTCTTCCAGTTCGAGTCTCGGCCCTGGGCAGGAGATGGGCCTGGATCAAAGCTGTATGGCGGTGGAGATGCAGCCGGCTGCTTCGAGTCTTGCTCCGAGTCTTGCGTTTGCGGTTCTTGCCGCATGGTTGCGGCTTCCAATACGTTTCCGAAGATCGTTCTTTCGAGGTTGATGTCTCCGACCTTGGTGTTTCTGAGGTTGAATGTAGGCCACCGGAGCCTAAGCGATCAAGTTGTAGCAGGTAGCAGGAGCTGCCTATGCCGATGGAATTGCCTCTGGTTGTGAGCGTGCAGAGTGTGCCAGCTGAGATTGCATTGTGAAGGATGGGCAATCATTTGAGAGAGCAGAGCGGCCTCAACATATACTCGCTTCTTCTTTTGGCTGATCGAGTTGATGCAATGCTTTCTGTGGCTTACCCAAGTCTTGTTTATGCTTTGCGGCGGATACTAAGTGACGCTGGTGCCTGAAGCGAAAGCACTCAGACACAAACTTATCTACCGAGGCTGAGCAAGGTCATTTGACGGGCTTTGCTGCAGGGCTGGGAGAGCACCAGGCACCGTGACCGTGGCTTGAGGAACCCAGAGGGACAAACTTACCTACTGAGGCTGAGCAAGGTCATTTGTCGGGGTTTGCTGCCATCGGCCAGTGCTGAGAGAGCACCAGGTGCCGTGAAGACGAGCGAACAGACCGTGGCTAGAGAAACTCAATGAGACTGGAACGAACCTAGCCGTCCGCTCACATCGACGACGGGCACTGCAGAGTCAACAGGCCCGGCCAAGGTCACGTCGAGGCTGAAGAGAGGCTTTGGTATCGAGAAAACATGGTTTTGCCTTGTATCTACCCTTGAAGAGCATATCCTGATGCTGCCGAACACACCATCAGTACACATTATCATCAGCCTCTCACGGTGCCTTTGGCCCAATCAGCCAAGCCTCAAAACACCTGTTCTTACAAGTCCACGCCCACTCGCTCGCCGCCCACCGACCATGGGTAACAAGTCCCCCTCCCCCACACCCGGGGCCTTCTCAGGTATTATGGAATGTTTGGATGGCTGGAGATGGGGTCAGGGGAACGATTTCGGATGCGAGTTGTGTCCTGCCAAAGGCCCACCAAGCCCTTGTCGTCAGACTCGTCACGCAGCACAGCATGACGAGTCCGATGCCCAAGTACAGCAGTCCCCGGAAATCGCCTTGGAGACACGATAACGACGCCTCCTCGCAAGGGGCTGCTCGAGTCGGGCCGTTCGTCTCAAGCAAGCCAAGCCCACGCTCCATCGTGTATGTATCGCCTGTCCATGCTGTACATACATGCCATGTGCCATGCCCCCGTCCTTGATGCGTGAAAGTGCACTTCTCGACGTTGCAATCTTCCTCTCTTCATCCCAGCCACGGCGGCCGACACGCGAGGCGCAAATCGCTCCCGGCCTGCAATAAGCCGGTGGCACTCTGAGTGGCCCCATCAATCAAGGTCCATTTCATCTGGAGAAACACGTGGCGACAGAGGTTCGTCTCCAACCGATACAACCTCATGCCACCTTCCCGGGAGCTTGCGTCAACAGTAGGCAGTCAAAGAATTTAAGCATCAGTTAAGAGCAGCTCGTCACACTAGCTTCTGGTCGCCAACAAATCTGTTTGCACTCTCCCCCCGAAATAGCCATAACCTGTGGAGGAGGTTCCCCAAAAAAGACAAGCAGAAGAAAGCAGTTCCAAAAAAACACACAAACGAATAGCAAAGGGTGCAGGGCTCTCCCGCCCCATCCCAAGTATGTTCTCTCCGCTCCCGGCGCGTTGCCTCGGTGGACCGTCTGTGCCATCAGTTGGAGCCTCGGCCACTCATTCCGGGACACCCGTCCTGGCCGGTGTACTTCCTCAGAGAATCAACGCCTCCTTCAGCACCAAACGAGCCACCGGTCCGTACTCTTGGGGGGCCGGCCGTGGCCCAGATTGCGCAGGGGCTGGTGGCTGGGCGGCAGGCGTTATCGTTGGTCTCCCATCAGCAGATGGCTGGCGGCTCATTGGTTCCCCTGCCAGGCCCGTTCCTGCGGGTGCCGGGCCTGGAGGCGCTTTTCCTGCGTCTGGCTGGCTCGCCCCGCCGGGGCCCATGAAGACAGATATCGCCCAGCTGCCTCCGCAGCGTTGGCTTCCTGCACCCTGGCAAGCCGTGTCACAGAAGCTCTCGGGCAGGCGCACGGCGTCGTCGCGGATGGACGAGCCACACCAGCACTCTGTCCCACACTCCGTGCCGCCAAACGAGTACCCCTTCGAGTCGCAATGGTCGATGCACGTTCCATTCGACATGTCCCCCCGGAGGTAGTCCAGCGGCCTGGACCCGACCAGCGTCCTGTTGATGGCGTCCTGAAAACATCCCAGATACTTCCAATCGCGAGCTGCGACGTCGCCCGGCACAGGGGTGCTGCCCGCTGGTGCTGCACTGGCTGGCGTTGGCGTGGCCTGTTCGGCTGCTGTCGGAGGCTGGCTTGTGGACGCGGGACCACTGTCGGACACGCAGTACCAACCGGACTTGCAATGGAAGCATGGCCAGCCCAAGCCGCAAGGGGCAACTTGAGCCGGCGTTTCCTGCGGAGGACAGAACCATCCGTTGAGGCAGTCGGAGCATCGGAATCCTCGGCCGGGACAAGGACCCAAGTCGTTATCCGGAGGGCTGGCCATGACACCCTGTGAACAGTCGTTGCTTGAGGAGCAAGACGGGCACGGAGGGCATTCCACTACGGGACAGCTCGTCAGTTGCACCGCTGTACTCGCCGGCGAAACAGCGGCAGGGCTCGCTGCCAAGGTCCATGTGTAAGTCATCTATCCGTTCGACACAGGGGCCATCAGATCCATACCTGGCAAGGATGGAGAAGACCCCGGCGTCTGGGTGCCTGGCACTGCAACAGTTGATGGCGACTTGGTCGCATCACCGGAAGATGCACTTTGCTGCGCCTGACTCGTCTTTTGCCTGGCATCTGGCAAGTTCGCCGCCGTGACCGATGCAACTTGACTTTCCGCACATGTCGTCGACGCCGGCGAGGGAACGCCCGTTGGCTGGCTCTGCAGCGGTCCGTATGCCTGAGGACTCGCAATAGATATAATGTTCCAAGAAGCCGCGTCTGCAGCCATTGTACCCGCCGCAGCCGATCCGGGATTCAACGTAATGACGCTGGCGGAGACCGACGCCGGGCCCTGGCCCGCAGACGAGCAGGGCACGACGGCCTCGAGGGGGACGCCTTGCACGTTTTGGCCGATGGCACAGAGCGTCTCGCCCAGGCGGTTCGCGGCAGCGTAGACAATGACGGCGACCTGGTCGAGAATGACCTGCAGTTCGGGTCGCAGGGCGGTCCTCATGGTGCTTGTGATCTCGTTGATGACGGCGATGCCCTGCGTGACAATATTCTTCAAGGCCCCTGACAGATCGGAAAGGCTCACAGGATCATGTTGGTCCAACTGTTTGCCGAGGGCAGCAGCAATGGCAGGAAGAATGAGAGGGAGGAGATCGACGGTCTTGACTGAAGCCTGCTGGGCCACTTGGGGAATGGCAGAAGCCACAGCATCTGCGTCGATGGGCAAGGCCTCCAGAACGACATCCATCAGTCGGGCGGCTGCTCCAGCGTCTACGGGAACAGCTTGCGCGACCACGTCTGACAGGGGACCGAGCAACGAGACGACTTGGCTGCCAAGTGTTGACGGTGCGTCGCGCGCTCGCAATCGATTGATAGCTCCAAGGTGCTCGTTTCCTTGCCTAGACTCTCGTCCGGCTAAGCCGCCCAGGAAACCGGCCGTCAAACTCCAGGTCGGAGATGCATCTGCTCCTGGGCCAATGGGAGAAGGCGTAAAAGGCAAAGTCTGAGAGGCTTCGGGCGTCTTGTCGGCGATGTGCTCAGGGGTGCTTGACGCAGATGACTCAAGTGTCGTGGTGGATTCGGAGCCAGACAAGATAACAGAGGGCTTGACCACCTTGCTCAGGGCTTCGATCAAGGCGTCGAGCAGGGCAAGCGATGGGCTCTGCGAGTACTGCGTTGCAGCGGCATCGTCGACTTGACTGGTTTTCGATTCGGCCTCTCCGTCGATCGGAACCAAAGACACGGTCTCCGTCATGACAGCTGGGCGTGAGGAGACTGACAGCGAAGCCACCGAGCTCTCGTGGCGCGGGTTTTGTGTCTCCTCGTGCTGGGTGTCCTGGGGGTTTGTAGCAGCGGCGGGGGACGCGGGCGACGGGTCAGCCTGGGTCACTCGTTAGCCATCGGCCACGATGACCTGTCAGCGGATACACTCCTCACCTGGTGAGCAAGAATGGCGCCAAGTTGAAACTGTCGCTTCGCGTGACTGCCTGCTTGCATGTTGACCGCCTCTTCGGCTACCAGGCTGACGGAACCGATGGCAGCAAGGGTTAGAATGAAGAGGCCGACAAGCACAAGGGCACGGCTCTGCGTCGTGAGAACTCGAGGAGCCGGCCGGCCGCGTAGGCCTTTGTCGTAGCCCTGCATGTCGTGCACGAGCTGCGCAAAGGTTTCGTCGAGAGGACTAAGATGCGTTCCAAGAGAGCGTTCCAAAACTGGATTCCCAAAAGCGGTTCCAAAAAACGAATCTCAAGTCTGAAGAAAGGAGGCGAGTCGTGTTGGTTGAAGGAGGATGAGGAAGACGGAGAAGCAGAGGAGCAAGTTTGAGGGCGGAAAGCCCAACTCTTGCCATGTTTGCGCGCCATGTCACTTGTTGCTGCCTCGCACTCAGTCACTGAGAAGGCTGGAGAGCCGCTGCCAGGGTAAAACCAGGGTAAACCAGGGTAAAAAGGCCAACCAGGGCCAGCAAGTTACCTTGGAAGGAGCCGCATTTCGCCTGCGGCTTGCTCGCTTCTCTTCGCGTCTGAGCGGCATGGTCCATTGCCGCGACTTTCCCCTTGCCGGGGACCAAAACGGAATAGGCGGGAGCTGCAGAGATGAGATGAAAGCGTGGCCTCGTACTTGGTTTCCTTGCTCTGAGCGAGTGCGTTCCTGGGGCTCGTGAATGCTCGCGCGCAGACTCTTATGCTAGCGGGAGCCGAGGGATGGCGGAAGCACAAACAAGACAGCCATCTTTGTGGTCGGCGTCCAACCCCCCAATGGCCTCCTCCCTTGCTTTTCTTTCATTCATTCCTTCTTTCACATCCTCCGGCAACAGTAATGTATCCAACAAATCTCTTACAAGGCTCCGTTCTCGTACAAGGCACCCTGTCACCCCCTATTTGGCATCTTCCTTACCCCATCGCGACGTTTCATCCCCCTCCTCCCACGCGCGCTCCACGTAGCCGAGCTCGCGCTTTACCTGCTCTACAACCTCCTTGTCTCCCGTGTTCTTGCCGGCGTTGTCGCTGCCCGGTGTCAGGAGATGCGGCTGTTGGATGAGTGGCAGTGCTGGCTTACCTGATCTTGATGGCCGCTCGCCCTGCCGCTGAGCTGAGCTTGATGACAATGTTCAAGGGCACAGACTTTGTTCCCGTCTTGAGATGGGTAAAGTCGTTTGTCAAGAAAGTCCCGACGCCAAAGGTGGGCTCGAACCCATACTCGTCAGCGATTCGCTTGTATTCCAAGCAACTTTCAATGTTGAGCGAGTCTGAAAAGACGATTGTCTTCTTGTCCGTGATGCCCTGCTCATCGTAGTACGCCCGCATCATCTTGACGTACTCGGCGGGGTCGCCAGAGTCCTGCCGCACTCCGCTGAACAGCTCGGCGTACGTCTTGCTGCTGCCGTCGGGCTTCTGAAAGACGTCGGGTGAGGCGCCGCCGTTGACGGGCCGGATCGGGAGGCTGAATGACCGGAGGAACTCTTGCGTGCCAAACGTATCCGTCAGGGCAATGGCGAGATTCGTGCCGAAGCAGCTGACCCAGTGCCGCAGCGCCTCCTCGGTGGCCTTTTTGTAGTCACCGATGATGGCCGCGGTGCCCATGAACCACTCGTGGGCCACCGTCCCGACAGGTGGGATCCCGAATCGCATGGCCAGATGAACGTTGCTCGTGCCCGACAATCTTCCGGGGAAGCCTTTCGCGGCAGCCTCCTTGGACGCCCTGACGAGGCCCCGGAACACCAGGGCCTGGGTATGGTAGTCGCGTCTCCTGCGAGTGCCAAATTCGGACGTTGTGCATCCGGCCTCGAGCAGCTGCATTCCCTTGGCAAAGGCCTGGTCCTCCTGGCCGTCGTAGTTCCAGTCGGTGTCGACGAAGCGAAAGTAGGCCTCGGAGGCGAGCGCCAGGAGCGGTATCTCGTAAAGAATCGTTCCAGACCATGTTCCCTGGATCTTTATGTCAATGTCGCCAATGTCGGAGTCGGCGCCCGTGTCATCGCCGCCGGGCGTGAACGTCACAAAGACTTCTTGTCGAGGCCGCAGTCGGAAATCCTTCAGATACTCGAGGTAGTCGGGGGCGAGGTACTTGCAGTGTGTCTGCAGGAACCGATACTCGTCGGCAGAGAGCGAAATGTTGCCAAGCTCTAGGTGCATTGGTCAGACCGTGGGCCAATCCAAGCGTGCCGCTGGAGGCGGGACTCACTTCTTATTTGTTCGTCAAGCCACCTGAAGCCGGCCCTTGACAGGCGCTTGTCGGGGGTGCGGTTCGTGTAGGCATAAGTCACGGGTACGTCCTTGAAGAACTTGAAGACGGCGCATTGCATCGTCAGCTTGTACAGGTCCGTGTCCAGGAAGGAAATGACCCCCTCGGGATACGGCGACGAGCTATTGAAGTCCATGATGGCGATGGACCCCGCAACAGTTGAAGCGGGAAGAAATCGGCGGCGAAGCCCTGAAGGTAGTCTTTACATGTGCCGGCGGCTATGCAGTGCTGGCCGTTTGCGTCCGTGTCTCAGGCTTGCGAAGGATTGTGAGGCGCGCGGTCGCCGGCATGGGTTCGGGTTTGACTCTGATGGTGCGCCGGATGCTCTATTGCAAGTCAGGAGGGCGAAAAATGTCCCAGTACAGCTCCAAGCCACAATAGCCGCTGTGAGACGGCAAAGGAGCTGGGCTGGCAAGGGTGAAGAAGCAAAGAAGCCAGATCGTCATCGCAAAAATGACTCGACTTGACGTGCGGTTGAGGAAGGGTACGTACTGGTGGGGTGGAGGGGTAGCGCAGCGCACTGACCACAGCTTAAATGCTTTTGATCAGGGTCGCAGGAGCAAAAAAAACTTCGGGACGAGGCTGAACGGTTGATTTTTTCTTCGCACCCAGCAGCGCGATTACGGCATCTTCCCGCACCACAGCCTTGACACGTCCGGCGGCGAGAAGCGACCACTCGGACGCAAGGGCTGTCATTAGCACGCGATTGGACAGCTGCGGCGCAAGCTGGGCGCAGGCAGAGCAAAGGCGGGCATCATGGACATCCATCGCTGCCGCTTCGTGCCCTATCAGCCCTCGGCCATCAACGCCGTGGCCTTTTCGCATCCCCAGGCAAAGTCAAGCTTACACAGATCGATTGCGAGGCTGGCGGTCGGGCGGGCCAGCGGCGACATCGAGATATGGAACCCCTCGAGCGGCATCTGGCACCAGGAGCTCGTCATCCGCGGCGGCAAGGACCGAAGCGTTGACGGCCTTGTCTGGATCAACGAGCCCGACCAGGATCTGGGAGGCGGCCGCACGCTGATTGGCAAGTCGCGCCTCTTCAGCATCGGCTACACCTCGACCGTGACCGAATGGGACCTCGAAAAGGCAAAACCACTGAAGCACGCCAGCGGCCAGCATGGAGACGTCTGGTGCCTCGCCGCCCAGCCCCCAGACGAGGCCGGCTCCGAGACCCAAGCCTCCAACAAGCTCATCGCCGGCACCATCGACGGCGAGCTGGCCATTTACTCGGTCGAGGACAACGACCTTCGCTTCCAGCGCTTGTTGGTCAGGTCTCCGACCAAGAAAGCGCAAATGGTCAGCATCACGTTCCAGTCCCGCAAAGTCGTCATTGTGGGCTGCTCCGACAGCACAATCCGAGCATACGATGTTGGCAGGGGCCACATGCTTCGAAGGATGACCCTCGGGTCTGATCTGGTGGGCGGCGCCAAGAATATCATCGTCTGGTCCGTCAAGTGCTTGCCAAACGGTAATATCGTCTCCGGCGACTCGACGGGCCAGATTTGCATTTGGGACGGAAAGACGTTGACCCAAGCGCAGCGGATTCAGAGCCACAAACAGGACGTTCTCAGCCTCGCCATCAGCGGCGATGGATCTTCCATCATGAGCGGCGGCATGGACCGAAGAACCTTTCTCTACAAACAGAACGCCGGCGAGGGGCAGCGTTGGAGCAAGGCTTGGGGAAGACGGTACCACGATCATGATGTCAAATCTATGGCGGCGTTTGAGAGCGGGCGCATGAGCGTCGTGGTCTCGGGAGGTCCGCTTCCCCCTCCCCTCCAAGCACGCGTTGCTCGACAGTCGGCTAACAAGAAGCACAGGTCCAGACGCCAACCTGATGATTGTGCCTCTCAAGGAAATGGGGCGGGAGAACCATAGAACGATGAGTAGCCTGCCGCAGCAACCTCCGATGGCAAGCGCCCCTGGTGCTCGATTCATGGTCAGCTGGTGGGATAGACAAGTCCACATCTGGGTCTTTAAAAAGCCGGCAACCGAACTCTTCGACTCGACTGGAGACGGCATCGACCTCAACCAGAACCGGAAGCTTCTCAAGTCCATTGTCATCAAGGGGGACTCCAACATCACCTCGGCTACTGTCAGCAGGGATGGCATGCTCCTCGTCGTATCCACGGCGATAGATGTCAAGGCCTTTCGCCTAAAGCACGAGGACCCAGCCAAGCCCTCGGATGTCAACGTCGCCTCCGCCGAGCTTCCTCAGAAGCTTACCCACCTCGGAGCTAGTCTGGTAAAGCTGTCGCCAAACGGCCGATGGCTTTGCCTGGTCCAGGAAGGCTCTCGTGTCCTCATCGCGGACATGCAGTCAAGCCATGAAGCACCAGACTCGACGATTCAACTACAACGAATGAATCGTCTGCGCCGCGAGATCCCCCGGCACATTACGAATGGCGGCCTCGGCCGCTACGACAGGAGCATTACGCAAGCCGACTTCAGTCCTGACTCTGAGATGTTGGCCGTCGCAGACCTGGCAGGGTACATTGACACGTGGATCTTGCGCGGCCCCCGGGAGGGCCCGAAGAATGGGAATGGCAGCGGGGGTGGCGATGACGCGGCGTCGTCGGATAGCGACTCCGAGGAAGAAGAGGCGGCCTCGGACGCCGACAAGCGGTGGATCCGCAACCCGAATGCAAAGCTCATACCCAAGCTGCCTTCTGCCCCTGTCGTCCTATCCTTCTCCGACTCAATCACCGAACGGGTTGTCCTACCGGGCACCTTGGACCTCGGGGGAGACGCATCGGGGGATTACGTTCTTGCTGCCATCACGTCCAACTGGCACATAACTGCGTTCCATCCTCGGCACGCATCGCTCACAGCATGGGCCCGTCGGCATCCGCGAATGTATTTGCCCGCCGCGATTCAAGACCTCCTGGACCTGCCCAAGGGAATCGTGTGGCAGGGTTCGAGGGTGTGGGTGTACGGCGTATCATTTCTTTTCATGCTCGACATGAGCCAGGACCTTCGCAAGTCAACCATGGACGGGGATGCCCCTGCCGACTCGCAAGTGACGCATGGGACAAAGCGCAAGAGGACGGGCCTGACCACCGGAGCAGGAGGCGTCAACGAGAAGGAAAATCTGACGCCGCACAAGGTCCGCAAGCATGGAGACGACGAGCAGTACGAGGATGTGGACGTGGGCAAAGCCTCCCGCGGAAGCGAAAGTGATGGCGACGACGAGTTGCCCGACGCGGAGGGCGAGCTGTCCCGACTTCGCAACGGCAATGCGGAGGCCGGTGAAAGTGTCGAGGAAGTGGGCACTTGCGCGGAGCGCAAGAAGTGGTGGATCACATACAAGTATCGTCCGATCCTGGGCATGGTGCCCCTCAACACGGCCGACCAGCCGCTCGAGGTGGCGCTGGTAGAGAGGCCGACGTGGGAGATGGAGATGCCGGAGCGGTACTTGGTTGGCGACGAACGCGATCGGTGAAGGCCCGGTAAGGGGGTGTCGGACGTTGGCCTCAAGCCCAGTGCTCGGCACACGAGTGCCGACGACGAGATTTGAGGTTTCTTTTTGTTGTCCTCCGATTGGCTTTGGGGTCTTGGGGTGTTTCCACTGAATGGCCTTGAGCATGGGTCCTTGTGCAGACGCAGAGCCTGGCTGGGATAGAATGAGGCCGATCCGGGCTGCTTAGCCCACTGGGCGTATATTACGAGTCACCCGCAAATGCCGGACATTCCGTGTTGTGGATGGTTGTGAGCATCGCCTGGTAGATGCACCGAGGAACTGAAAGCTCTCCTGACTGGGGTTGTTGTGGTTGGTCTTTGACGACATGCGTGTGTGATGTGGGAGGGGCCTTTGACGGACAGCGAGCAGCGCGGTACGTGGTCTTTGGGATGATGCACATGAGACGAGGATAAGATGGACATGGTTCATCGACGAGGTGTATATGCATATCTGGGATGGCAGGTCTTGATGGAAGACTTGTGGTTGATGCGTACGCAGTGGGCCACGCGGACTGGACGAAGCCAGCAGGATGCTAGTAGGTTAGACGAACCGCACGTGCCATGGACCGCGTAGACCACAGGGGTATCCGTAGTCGAGAGGCAATCCAACATGATAGGGCAGGGCAGCGGGAGGGTAGGCAGATGACGCGTCCCCTCTGACAGGGCCGGCGGGCGGCCACCTTGGGCAGGGCCAGGCAGGCCCGGCGTGGGGCTATTGACCGTGGACGGAAGAAAGGCATTCGTAATGCCCATGTCAAGTCAAACCGGACAAAGGACGTGCCGTGTCGCTGTGGAGAGTCATGGCGCTGTTGACGAAGAGCTGACGGAGGGCGAGCCGAGATGTGGAGAGGGGAAGTTGGCGTGGTTTCTCTGGCCCATGGCACGAATACCGCCGATGGGCCTGTCTTCTTTCTTCTTTTTCTTCCGACGGGGCACGAGTCGTGGCCTTTGGAAGAAGAAGTAGAAGAGAAGAGGTGGGTTGGCGGGCGCTGTGCTTTGCGCTCAGACATTTTCAGTGCATGCACAAGGGAAAAGTGAGAGGGGCGGCATATCCCGCAAAAGCCAAGCTTTGTGATGAGCGGAAATGCCGTCATGTTGATTTATTTGGTAATGGAAAGGCGAGCAAAGGTCGGTGAGCCTTGGTGGACTGATGCGTCTGTTGGGAGTCCTGGGGAGCGCAGGGCCGTCTTTTTATCTCGAAGTTTTATCTCGAAGCCATTCGTCCCCTGCAGCTCGGTGCAGTCAACGTCTAGGCGCGGTTGCAGGCTTGGACAGCGAAGCCACGAGGCGTGGCTGTGAGGCCCTCGGGCTGCTGCGCCATGTACAGTCCAGGCCGGACGCAGTATGTGTAGAATGCAGGGCCACGCACTGTACAGCACTGTACATCTTTTTGAGTGTCTTCAAAAAGACGCGCAAGCAGCGCCCGGCTGCTTCAGGCACCGATCCGCGCTTGGCTCAGCGCGTGGCTTGCCAGGTGTAAGTGTACATGTACTCTGCACAGTTGGTGCTTGCGGTTCCTGCACCGTGTGACAAAGTGACGGCCTTTTCGGCACGCCCTTGAGGACATGGATGCGAGGGAAACGGATGGAAAGATCCGGGCCTTTATTCACCATCTTACGCCAGCTCGATCTCCCCTCACGTACAATGCGAGAGTGCGCATGCAATGCGGTCCGCGAGGGCGCATCGGACTTGTCGGGCTACCAAAGTCGGAACACACCCGCGTCTTTGCTGCATCTCCGTTCTGCTTACAATCCTACCCTAACTGCAGTGCTCGAGTACAAAGTGCTTATTCGTGCGTACAGTGCTTGAGCTCGACACTCGGGTGCGGACTCGGAGCCGACTCGTACCGTGTACACGGGCCCAAACAGCAGGCAGGCTGCGTAGCATGCCTCGTCATCGAACGTGGAGGAGGCTTATTGTTAGAGGCAGGGGGCACGGGGAGGCCGTTGGGGGGAGGGGGTACCGGTATGAGGGCTCGGCCACTGAGCGGAGCTGAAGACCAGACATCTCGCCTATTCTCTCTGGGAAGATGATGGCCAACACCGCTAGTGCGAGAGGAAGCAGCATGTCCGTTGGGTGTCTTCACAAAGCTCTCGTGTGCCGTGGTCGCAACAGGGCATCGGTAGCCGCATGTACTGTACCGCTCAGCCGACCCTCTGTACCTGTTGATATTTTCTCTTGCTTACAGTGGCTGGGTACCTGTAGGGTAGTGTGGTGTAGTGTGTAATAGTGTGTAGGCCCCCCCTTTCGCAGCCGCCGCCGCCCACATACGCCCCCGTCGCTCGCAGCCACCCCGCGACGGGGCCTTTGCCGGAGCGCTGATTGGCCGCGGCTGCGCAGGCTGACGCGTAAACCGCCAAGTTCCTCTCTCTCGTCGGGGCCCCCTGTTCGTCGTTCCTCGCTCTTGTACCCATTCGTCACCACCCACCCATGCCACCCTCAGTCGTTCTTCGTCTCTCCTCCCCAGTACTGTGGTATTCGCTCGCTCTGCCTCTCCCCCTCGCCCTCTCTTTTCGCTAGCAGGCCTACTGCTGCCGGCCTGCCTTAACTCGCCACCCCCTCCATCCTGCTCGCACCGCCTCGACTCGACTTCTGTCCGTCGACTCCCCCCCGAGAGCCCCCCTTCTCCCTCCGCCCACGATCTCCCGCATTCCTCGACGACGGCGCGCTTTGCAATTGTCTACGCTGCAATTCCGACTGCGGGTTTTGGCATCACCTCGACGACAATTCATCATCGCCCACCTCCCCCTACCCGGGCCGCCGGGCGGCGACGATCCCTGTGGCGACTTCGACGAACCCCCCCTCTTCCAGCTGACGACGGCCACCACGTCCGCTGCCACGCACCTCCGGCACCCGCCCTGTCCACGACGGCCCTCGACGACTCCTTCATTTCCTCGCCGCTCCCCTCGACTGTCTGCGTACTTTCGTCCCTGTCCATCTTGTCTCGACCCCCGTGTCCTCGCCACTTGCTCGATACTGGCAACTCTCCGTCACCCCCATCACCATTCATCGTGCGGGCCTCTCACCCATCAGTCCCTCTCCCACCATGGCGGGGCGAAGCACCCCCTCGGGACCGCCCGAATCGCAATATGGCGAGGAATGGGCTCAGGATCTGCGCATCAAGTTCGAGGGCTTGCTGCGCGATAAGCGCATGACCGACCTGCGCACCACCTCTCGTCATTCTTCTCCCGGCGTCACCGAACGTTCTTCGAGCGCAAACCTCCGCGCCCGTTCCGCTGCCGACAACGCCCGGCCTGCCACCGCCCACGGCCAAGCCACTCCTCCATCCTATTCGTGCATCCGCAATCTGCCCAAGATCCCCACTGCGCCAGCCGTCGGCGACCGCGACTCCCAAAAGTTCCGCAACCTCCTCATCAGCCTGTCACTGACGCCCACAAAATACGAAAACCCTGGCCTCCTAGACGAGGCCCTCCAGACAATTCCTCTCGATCGCATCTACGGCGAGGCCGAGGAGGAGAGCCAGGTGCTGCAGGCCGAGGCCGAGAGCATGGGCGATGGCCGTAGACCCGAGTGGGGATATCAGGACTGCGTCATCCGGGCACTGCTTCGGTATGTTTCTCCTCAACCCCTCTCGTCTGGACCAGAGTGCGTCTCCAATCATGTTACATGAAGTCTAACCAAACCCCAGATGGTTCAAGCGGTCGTTCTTCACCTGGGTCAACAACCCTCCATGTCCCATTTGCCTGTCGCCAAGCATCGCCCAGGGCATGACGGCGCCGACGCCCGAGGAAAGCGCCTGTGGTGCTCTCCGCGTCGAGCTCTATCGCTGTTCGGCCCACAACTGTGGTGCCTACGAGAGGTTCCCGCGCTACGGCGACGTGTGGCGGCTGCTGCAGACGCGCCGCGGCCGTGTCGGAGAGTGGGCCAACTGCTTCAGCATGCTGTGCCGCGCCGTCGGCGGAAGGGTGCGGTGGGTGTGGAACGCCGAGGACCACGTATGGACCGAAGTGTACTCGGAGCACCGGCAACGATGGGTCCACGTCGACGCCTGCGAGGAGGCCTGGGACAACCCGCGGCTGTACGCGGAGGGTTGGGGCAAGAAGATGTCGTACTGCATCGCCTTCTCCATTGACGGAGCCACCGACGTGACGCGGCGATATGTGCGCAAGAACGAGCACGCCAGCGACCGCACCAGATGTCCCGAGGAGGTGCTACTCTACATTACGCAGGAAATCAAAGGCCTCCGCCGCGCCAACATGAACAAGGACGAGCGGTTTCGTCTCGAGAAGGAGGACCAGCGGGAGGATCAAGAGCTGCGGGGATATGTGGTGGCGTCGATTGCGCAAGCCGTCACGGACCTCGTCCCCGGCCCCTCGGGCTCGGCCCCCACCCGCCGGCCCCCCGGACCCCCTGGCCATGACGTGAAGCTTCCCGCCGAACGACCTGGCCAACAAACAGGGTCCGAGGAGTGGTTGCGGGCACAGCAGCAAGCACGGAACCGGCCGTTTCAACCGCCACGCAACCCCGATCAGCGCTGATGCGGGTCTCGTCGCGCGTACGTGTCCTGGCGTCCCTTGTTCTGTCTCGCCGAGGTCGAGTCGTGGTCTATGCCGCCTCGGCCACCAAAGGCCATCTCTACGACACGCGTTGCGTTGTCACCTTGGGTCGACATAATCACGAAGATATCCGCACGACCATGCACGGCCAAAATCATTTCCACACGACACACAACACCAATGGCACAATCGACAATTCGCCCGACTCTTTCTAATTCCTTAGTAATCTCACCACATGAGGACTCAGTACCATTCTAGATCAGGCGTTGAGCGACCAACACAGGCGATGCCGTTGGACAAACAGAAGATTTTGGCCTCTACCGCATCACATACACAACCGTTTGCGTTCTCTTTTTTCCAATTCTCTTTGTACTTGGATAGGGGGCGTCATGGGCAGCGACCAGGGCAGGGAAAGAGTTTTGAATTGTGATATTTTGGACCCTCGACACGAGGTGGGAATTAGGGGGGATCTCTATTGCGGCGGTAATTCTCCCGGGGCGTTTGGCTGGGCTTTGTTTCCATGTACATCTTAGGCGGGCAGCGAGGGCGAAGAGGAGGAATGATGTTGGGCCAAGGGTGGATGGCTTTTGTCCAGGCAGGGAGTGCCTGGGTTGTTTTGCGCATAGCAATAGACGTGGCAGCGCAATGCGCTCGCTGGTCAAGGAGATTTGACAATGATTCCGCGTCGCGAGCCTGACTTGGTCTTGGTAGGGATTGACTGTTTGTTGAAATCGAGGACAGATGAGGCACGCCCGGGGACAACAAGGCACAAAGCCCGCCCCAGACTGATGCGCAGTTGGCCTGCGAGGGAGGATCGAGCCTGCAAGAGAAAACAGTATGAGTTTGAATGCCCCGCCGCAGGATCCATACACGGCAGCAAGCCGTGAGCTGGTGGCCGCCTCCGCGGACCGACAATCGGCATTGTCCCCACTTTTCCTGCACCGCGCCACCTCCGCTCCGTCCCGGGCAACTCAACGGGCCGGGGTCCATGACTAAGCATACGTAACGGCCCAGTCAAGAGAGGCAAATATGAGGCCATTCGCTCCGCGGCACCACCCACGGTCCGCGACTCGAGTCCGCATATATCGAAACCTTGTGTCTTGCCCTCGTGGGTTTAAGTTTTCACCCTTATCAGGGACAATTCACCACCCGCCCCCTCGTCGTGAAAAACCTTTGTTCAACTCGCCTGGCTGCTTCTGCCAACGCGCCGGAGCAAACAGAGCGCGGCATCGCACTCACCCGGGGCCCATTGCCAATCTCAGGAGAATTGCTTGACGCAGTGGGCAGCCATGGAGGCGAGGCTGCTCGCCGCTTCGCCCGCGCGATGGGGACGGGCGCCCGGCTCGACCTGGGATAACCCCATTGACCTCGGCAGCGACGACGAACCGACAAGGCCACAGCGCAGGACGCCTGCGAAGACGGCGGCGCAGATGCTCCCTTCCTCGTCGTCTGGCCACGCGCAAGCCCGCACAAGCGGGGCGTCGGTAGCACCATGCACGCCATCTCACCAAAAGAAGCGCAAGGCACCAGCAGCCGCCGGCGACGACGAGCCGTCATCAGCACGGGAGAAGCGCCTCCGCAGATTCCGCCCGCAGCCGCCGCAGTCCTTCCACGGCGTCTACGCCCGAGCCCTGGACCAGCGCTTCTGCGTGCTCGGGCGCCGGCGCGGCGGCTCCGATGCGTGTCCGCACGAGACGTTTGCGCTGGCCGGGTCGACGGGTAATGTCTACACTGTCCACGTCGGCCGGGAGCCGTTGTGTAACTGTCCCCATGCCGCCAAGGGGAATCAGTGTAAGCATATCCTCTACGTACGTCTGTTCTGCTCGAGACTGCCCGCCCGCCTGCCTGCCTGTTCCCCTCATATCATCGGAAGTGATAAGGAAGGACTTAACGTGTATACGCCGCCTTGTCTAGATCCTCGCCAGAGTGCTCCACGCCCCCTTCAACCTGGTCTACCAACTCGCCCTCCTCTCCTCAGAGCTGCGCACCATCTTCGCCAACGCCCCCAGCACCGCCGGCCAACGCCCCGACGCAGCGACCAGCAGCAGCGACAACGGCAAGGGCAGGCGGAAACCCGTCGAGGGCGACTGCCCCATCTGCTTCTGCGAGCTCGACGCCGCCAGCCCCGAGTCGATAGCCTGGTGCCGCGCGGGGTGCGGGCAGAACATCCACCAGCAGTGCTTCGACACGTGGGCCGCGACCAAGACCGCCGGCGGCCGCGTGCCGTGCCCGCTGTGCCGCAGCGAGTGGCCGTCGCGGGGGCGCGTGGTGGGTGGCCGACCGGCGTCGCGTGCTGTGCGGTTGGACGAGGCGGTGGACAGCGAGGGGTATGCCAATGTTGCGAGCCAGCTCGGCATCAGCGGCGTTAGAGGTGCGTTTGAAGATGCTCGGTTGTTGGTTGGTGGCTAACTTGTCTCTACTAGATACGTCGTCGTATTCGGACTGGCACTGGAGGCATAGTCGGCGGCGAGGTGGTTGGTGATGGGCATGAACATGGGACTCTGGCAAGGCTGCGGGCACGACTGAACTGCCGTCGTTTCCGGCTGGACGAGGACCGGGACGGACGGCGGCTCATCATGGCGGGTTAGACATACTAGCCGACTCACAAGCTTGTCGGTGCCAAAGAGAGACCGTTGCCAATCCTCGGCTCGTCCAAAGTCGGTGGTCAAGCAAAGGGGGGACCATGAGGTGCTCGCCCATCACCAGCTCACACCTTGGCATGCTGACAACCTGTGCTCGGCATACGGATCGTCCAGTCGACCACTCCATCATCACCCGGCCGGCTTACACATCCGCCATGTTGAACTCGTCGACTTGCACAGCGTGATGCAGCGTCTTGTTGGCTACTCGTCCATGCAGTAGGCCGGACTTTGATCAAACACGAGACCAGGGTGGCTTGAAGCATTTCATTGAAGGGATCTGGCACATGTCACCGGATCCGTAGAGGCCGATCCGTCGGTAATTGAAGCTCGGACTTGAGGGATGAAAAATATCAACACCGAGTCTACTGATTCTTGCACATGTCCAGCGAGAGACCGAGCGAGCCATTGACAAAGCCGTTTGGTCTTCCTCGTCCTTGGTGGCCCATGACCGGTTGCTGGTTACACAACGCCTCCTCTCCGCGGCTTCTGGTCCGAGGCTCCGAGCCGTTCAGCACAGCACCTCGCCGGTCTGGAACCCGCTGATACTGTGCTCCATCTCGCAGGATACGCCTTGTGCGTTGATATGCGCGTAGCATGCATATGCACGTCTGACAGCAAACCTCTAGCTCGGCCAGTCAACAGTCGCAGGAGCTCGCGCTGTGCCATGTCGGCAATTTCGCCCAAGCGAGGCCGCATCGGGTCCAGAAGGAGAAGTAAAAGCCGAGGGATGGACGCCGGAACGTGGTGCCATGGACCATCCGCCGTGCTGAGCTTCGTGTCCCCTCCCGTGTTGCACCGTCGGCAGCGGCGGAGTAAGACGGTCCTGGGCCGTATTCGTCGTTTCCAAGGGTAGATAATCCCAGTGAAGCCCACGATGAATGAGGGAGGAGCTCGACCGTCGATAGCATCATTCCATCCGTATGTTGAGGCACTGTCTGTCGAGACAGCAACGCTTCGCCCTCGTAAAATCGAAGACAATGGGCTCCAACAAAGCCAAAGACATGCTCAAGTCGTACGACTTTATCGTGTGCGGGTGAGCCTCTCCTCTCCCTCACTTGAGCGATAGGCTCACGGCTGCGACTTGGTGATGACCCTCGCTGCAGAGGAGGCACCTCTGGCTGTGTTATAGCCGGCCGGCTCGCCGAGGACCCCAACACGACCGTCCTGGTGCTCGAGGCCGGCCAAGACAACGAGAACCTGGAAACCGTGCACATGGCCGGAGGGTATGTCCTGATATATATATCTCCCCGCGACGCCGGCGTCGCACTGTTTCCCAACTCGACGCCGGGGCTGGTGGTGTTCTTCTTTCTGAGTCTGCTGCAGCTGGAGCCAAAACTTCGACAAGGAAACAGATTGGAACATCGTCTCGGAGCCGGGCGCCGGCATCAACAACAGACGAGTCAATTTGAGCAGGGGCAGATTCCTCGGTGGCTCCTCGGGCTGCAACGGAACCCTTTGCGTTCGAGGCAGCAAGCAGGATTACGATGACTGGGGCTTGCCCGGCTGGAGCGGGGAGGAGTTCTTTCAGTATATGAACAAGGTGCGACCATCTCTCCTGGCCGAATGCTCTGCCAGCAAAACAGCAGAATGATATTGCTGACAACGGTCCCCAGGCCGAGTCGTTCACCAGCAAGCCATGGTTCCAGGCGTCCAAACAGTCGCACGGATACAGCGGGCATCTCCACACCGAACCCTTCGACCTCGGCCCCATCTCGGAGCTCCTGCGCAGGTCCATGGAATCAAAGGGCCTGCCGTTTGACGCTGACATGTTTTCGCACGGCGAGAACCCCCACGGATGCGGCCACGTCCCGAGAACCGTCCACGCCGGGGTCCGGACGACGGGTGCCGACTTCATCACCAAGAAGAACAAAAGGGCCAACGTCACGACCGTAACCGGCGCCCACGTCGACAGGGTCTTGGTTGAGAAACAGGACGACGGCAGTCTCAGGGCTGTCGGTGTCACGGCTGTCCTGGCCGACGGCACTGGCTTGGAGGTCAAGGCGAACAAAGAGGTCATTGTCAGTGGCGGCACGTACTGCAGCCCGAATATTCTGAACCGCTCCGGCATTGGCGCCAAGGAGGAGCTGGAGAAGCACGGCATTACCACCATTGTGGACTTGCCGGGCGTTGGGAAGAACCTGATGGACCACCTGGTGCGTGTGCGAGATCCCATGCGCGCCCATCGGGGGGCTTGAGTGCAAGTCAGTGCCATCACTGACTTCATCCCTCGGGACAGATCGTCTTCCTCATGTACGAGACGGACAAGCCTGGTCTGACGCTTGATCACCTGCTGTTCCACGAGGGTGCGTATGAAAAGTCTCACAAGCTCTGGCAGGACGAAAAGAAGGGGGCCCTCGCCAACATACCGTTTGGCATCTTCGCCTTTGCGCGGCTGGATTCTCGGATGGCCGACTCGCAGCTCTGGAATGCGGCTCCCCGGAAACCCGGCCGCGACCCCATGGGCTTGACGCCGACACAGCCCAACATCGAGTTGATGACGGCCGAGAGCTTTTTCGCCCCCAAGCAGTACAATGTGCTGCCGACTGGTGGGCAGCATGTCTTTTGCATCGTCCCCGAGCTGTTTGGCGCACAGTCTCGCGGCTCCGTGTGGCTGAGGAGCGCTGATGCGACAGCGTTGCCCGTCGTCGACTGCGGCTACATGAGCGACCCGCTCGACCTCGAGGTCATGGCCGAGGCGTGCCGTCTTGCCAACGAGATTGTCGTGGACGGGGCGGGGACAAAGGATATTGTCAAGGGCTCGTGGCCGCCCGAGGCGTCGCACCATGAGCTCTCGACGAGGGAGGACTGGATGTCGCACGTCAAGGAGCACGCAACGACATGTGAGTAGCGATGCCAGCCAAGTGCTGCTTCGCGGCAGACGGTTTGCTGACAATGTCCCTCGCTTGCCGAACCCCCCTAGGCTATCACGCGTCGGGCACCTGCGCCATGGGCAAGGAATCCGATGAGAGTGCCGTCGTCGACGAGAATCTGTGCGTCAAGGGTGTCAAAGGGCTTCGGGTCGCGGACTGCAGCATCATGCCCATCCTGCACGGCGGCCACAGCCAGATGCCGGCGTATGGAATTGGAGAGAAGGCTGCGGACCTGATCAAGGCCACATGGGGCCTGAAGTCGGCCACGTGAATGGGAGAGATGGCTGGTAGACTGACCGACTTCTTGTCGCTTGCAGTGATGGCTGGCTTGCAATTCCCGAGGAGATAGAAGCTCGTCGTCGGCACACGGCACGTATCGGGGGTTTATCATAATTACCTAGTAATATCTGTTGCGGGCATACGGCCGACCTCACCCCGACCTTGCAACGTCTGCTCTCAATCCGCAACATCAAGACGTGTTCAATGACCGAGAGGCGGATGATATCGAAGGGCAAGGGATCATTGCATGGCCACGCGCTTGGATCTTGTTGAACCGCCAACGACAATCGTACAGCTAGGAGCGAATTTGGCGCCTTGCTCTTCCCAGATGTCTCCATCCGATTCACAAGAGCGCTATGCTTCGGCTGTGCTTTGCGGGATACAGCACGGCCTGGGATGTAGCCGAACCTTTTCGCCAAAGAAACGCAAACGGAGGATCTCTCCATATATGCAATGTCACCTTGATATTTACTCCACCCATCTGCTAGTGTAGCTGCGAGTTATAGAGTTGTCGAGGAGAGCCGAGCCCAGAGGGCTCAAGAGCTGGCAACTGAGTCTGCCGGGCCAACATGACACTGCTAGCAGAAGGACGTGCAAAGGACGGAACATGCATATAGGGACATCTTAATGCCCTCTGTTGGCTAGTTATTGATGGTATTTATACTTACATAAATCCCGTTACTTGTCTTAATAAATATATAGGATATGTTGGATCCACCTGTGCACTAGGCACCGATCGCGCACGTATAACTAATCGACCGCGCTAGTCACGTGCGAGTAAGAGGTGAGACACAGGGAGGAAGGTCTTTGCACACAGTTTGTATGGGACACGTTTCCCTAGTTACACAAGATATAACCAATTGAACCAGTTCGAATAACCTCACTGCAGTGAAGAGCCTGTCCACACTGATCAGTGTCGCCCGGCAAAGGTGACACAGAACAGCAAGACGGAAGAGAGCTAACCTATCGTCACGCTCTGCAAAGCGAGCTCCTGACGGTAGGATAGTTGCTACAACGCGCGGATTGCTACGAAGACTCTGCATCAGAGCCCACTCTAGTTATCCAACCGTGCCTAAGCTTTGCTGTCATCAGCGACCCTTAGGCGTGCCCTATCGCACATTGATAACCTCATTGACACCCTGTGCCCTGTTTCTCAGCACACAGCCTGTCAATATGTCTGACAATTCATCTGCCGCACTAGCCCCGGCAACAGCCCAGGATACCCCGGCCAACGTGTCTCTCGAAGACAGGCAACTCGTTGAACGGAACCTGACGATCGTGGAGCTCCTTCACTCCCGATCAGGCATTTCGACGCGGATTTCCTCAACGAACCTATCACCCAGAGCTCCTCCCTTGTCCACCGCAACAGCTTCTTCTTAGGCTGTGTGGCAACATACACGGTGGATAAACGTAACCACGGAATTGCCCTGCTTGGGGATCTGTATAACGACTTCACGGGATGGAGCTATGATGACTTCGAACTAATCAACCCACGCCTTAGATCAAGACTCCGGACGCTTCTCAGAATTAGGGGGATCTATATGGGCAAGGCCAACTCTAGCATCTCTCGAGCTTTATGTGGCCTTCTAACAAGTAACGAACTTCCTGAATGGGATGAGAACGAGTTGCTTGGTCAAGAGGTTGCTGAAAACACCGTGGCATATAAGGTGAAACAGAAGCTGCTCCAAGGAACTGTTAAAGCGGCTATATCGTCACCGGCACCGGTAGTAATCCAGCAGCCAACTATTACCCGACCGGCGGAACCGGAATCCCCTCAGATCATTGAGACCCATCAACCCGCTCAGCAAGAGCCTCAGCATCAATGGCGCGAATCCCCTCGGTATCAGCAGACGCTCCCCGTACGGACTACCAACTTCCGAGATGCATACACGAGCATTCCACCTGTTCGATTCGAGAACGAGGAAGTTGAGGCCGATCTCACGATTAGATTCATTAAGATATGGGACAAGAAACTAGCCTATACCGGCGAACCATACGATATCTTCGATGACAAGATCCGGAAATTCATGAGCGTGTGCCGTCAAGCAAACATTCCTCCGTCTAAATTCCATGGTGTTATCCTTCGATTCTGGCCAAGGAAGCTCAGTCCTTCTTTCTACACGAAATCAGCACTGATTTAACCTTCGCTGAGATGTATCAGAAGATGAAAGAGCACTTTGACACCGAAATCAACCAGAAGATGTATCATACCCACTGGAGCACCCTCACCTTCAGCCGACTTCGGGCTGAGATGCCCGTAAGTCATCTGACGAGGTCCTCCAGGCCCTTCTTACGAAATTGCGGCTCTGTAGGAGAGCACTCGGGGATAAGTCTGGCGGCGAAGGTGGCCTGATCGATGCAACGCTCAGGGCGTGCCGTGGTGTGCCTGAATTCCGACTCGCGATATACTCTCCCGCACCTACATTTGAGGGATTGGCATCACAGCTTCGATCATCGCTATCTGCCATGCAAGATGAACGATCTGAACAACCCAGTGGCCAATATCCCCAAGACCTGGATAGAGGACATGATCAGCACTTCGTGGATCGCAAATTTCAGCGAAATTCCGGCGGAACAAGAGGTCAATCACAAAGGCGTCAGCCAAATTGGAAGAAGAAATGCTACGTTTGCGGCAAGGAAGGTTGTTTCTCAACGAGACATCCTGAAAACGAGAGAAAAGCAGCCAAAGAGAAGTATCTACGAGAGAGAGGCTTCCACGGTCAATCTCGTTCGTATGCTATGTTCTTGGCTGACTATGAAGGGAATCACAGGATCAGGATGACTCGAGCACCGAGGAATCCGATGATTCTGACTCCTCTGACCCTTATGAATCGTTCTACGCTGCTGCGACCTTTCTGTCCAACGAAGCTTTCCATCATCGGATCTCTCAGTAGGCATCAAGTTATTCAACAGTGACGAACCCACACAATTCATACTAGATCGTTACTCTCAAGACTCGTTCCAAGGAATCATGCCGGACACAGGTGCGGCATGCATATCGACGGGAGGAATCGAACAACTGCGTGCTCTCCAACGAGAGATGCCCCCAGTCCAATTCCGTGATGATCGCAAGCCCGAACCAGTTAGATTTGGTGCAGGAAGATTGGAAACACCACTTGGCGTGATCACCTTGAACACACCAGTGGGAGAGGTTGATTTTCATATAGTCAACGTGCCAACGCCATTCCTCCTATGCCTAGCTGATATGGATCGGCTCGGCGTATATTTAAATAACGTCACGAACGAGCTCGTTGGCAATGGTGTGAGCGTTCCAGTGATTCGAAGATGGGGTCACGCGTGGTTCTTCTTGCGGAAACAAGAGGCATCAGTGGCATATCTCACGGAGGCTGAATTGCGGCGCCTCCACACGCGTTTTGGTCATCCATCCGTGTATCGGCTGCACAAGCTGCTGAATTCGGCTGGCCATGATGTGGAAATCGAAGCTCTGGAAATGATCAAGAAGTTCTGCCACTACTGTCAGATGAAATCCGACCCGCCACGAAGGTTCAAGTTCAGCTTGAAGGATGATTGTGACTTCAATTACGAAGTCATCGTTGATGTCATGACATTGGGTGGCAGACCAGTCCTCCATGTTGTTGATCAAGCCACTGCCTATCAGGCAGGAGATTCCTATCCAACATGACGGCCAAGAAACGTGGCTCGCGTTGAAACAATGTTGGATGGATACATACCTTGGACCACCCGATGTGATCACTCATGACGCAGGCACGAATTTCGCTGCTGCCGAGTTCCAAGCAGAAGCGAAATTGATGGGAATAACGTGTCATCAGGTGCCTGTGGAAGCACATTGGGCTGTTGGGAAGGTTGAGAAGTATCATGTGCCCGTCCGAAGAGCATATGATATATTAAAGGCAGAGCTGAAGGATACCGTGAGCCCTGATCAAGTCCTTCAAATGGCTTTCAAGGCTGTCAACGACACAGCCGGTCCGGATGGCCTCGTTCCAACCCTCCTCGTCTTCGGTGCTCTGCCTCGAATGACGATGGATTCGCCGCCTACACCTTCCGCAATGGCAAGAGCTAAGGCGGTGTGGCGAACGATGTCAGAGCTGAGGAAGATCAACGCCCAGAGGAAGGTTCAGACCGCGTTAAATACGCGTAATGGGCCTGATACAGCGTTGCGCCTGCCCTATCCCTGGCGCTAGGAAGCGAAGTTCGCGTATTTCGCGAGAAGCACGGATGGCAAGGCCCATATAAAGTGCTCGAGGTGACGGATACGGAAATCGCAGTTGACCTGGACAACGGACCAGCGAAATTTCGCAGTACATGCGTCCAACCGTACTATCGTCACCCGGAATCGCTCCTTCCTCAGTTGCAACCCGACCCTAGCCCTAGCCGCACAGACCCATCAACACAACAATCACTCCTTCCCTCAACACAATCCGATCAACAACATCCTCTTCAAAACCCTCTTCCCCTTCCACCCACAACTCAACAACCTCTTCCTCTTCCTACCACAGAAGACCAACCCAAACCTTTCGAATACCCTGAGCCAAAGAGGCCGCGCAGGCGTGGCCGACCTAGGAAGGATGCTGCACAAAATGGCACATCAGAATCCACTATTGTTTGCTCACCCGTTCAATTTATCGTTCATCATGAAGCTAATGCGTTTCTTGTTCGAAAAGAAATGGAACATCTCGGCCTAGCCAAGCGGCTACGAGCTGAAGGAAAGATCACAAGCACCGGTTTCCCATTTGAAGCTTCCGACACACTCGAGCTCACGAACCTCCTCGCCGCTGGGGTCATTGTACCCGAAGAATTCGATGCGAATAAACATGGTGGATATCGTGTCTTCAAATCACGAATGGTCAGAGAGGTTAAGGGAAGAAATACTGCAACGCCATACGAGAAATCACGCCTCGTTGTGCAAGGATACAATGATGATGGGAAACGTGGGATCCTCACACAAGCCCCTACCATCAGCCGGCCCGCACAACGCGTGGCCTTGGCCTTAGCACCGTTTCTCTGCACACGGGATATGTTCATCATGATCAGAGACATCACGATGGCATACACACAATCCCAGACCAAGCTGGCCCGTGTCATCCTTGCAGCCCTTCCTCAAGAACTCAAAAGAAGATATCCAGAGGAACAATCCTGCGAATCGTGAAGCCGCTATATGGCATCGCAGAGGCAGGAGCCCACTGGTTCAACACATATCACGACCATCACTGCCGCAAGCTTAATATGGAAACCTCTTCGTTTGACCCGTGCCTTCTGATCACGGCAAACAACATCGCCGACAAGGACCTGTTTGGCATCGCGGCCTTGCAAACGGATGACACATTCATTGTTGGCACAGATGCATTTCTCAAGATCGAGGAGAAAGAACTCTGCTTTAAGGCCAAGCCAAAGAGATTCTCCAAGAAGGTTCCATCTGCGACTTTAACGGCAGCCGCCTGACCATACAAAATGGCTGTGTCATCGTCAGGCAGAAGGGCCAAGCCCAAAACCTCGAGGAGATCAATCTTCAGGCATCAAGTAGGCATCAGGATTATGCTGCTCAACGCGCCCGGGGGGCATATATCGCTTCGATTTGCCAACCCGAAGCAACATACGATTGTTCCGTTGCGGCACAAGCCCAAGAGCCCGTTAATACCGACTTCAAGGCTTTGAACAAGCGGATTGAATGGCAGATCAACAATCCCGACCGTGGCCTATGTTACATACCCATCGATCTCGAGAGCGCGAAGATCTTTGTGTTCACCGATGGATCATTCGCCAACAATAAGGATTTAAGCTCTCAAATCGGCTTTGTGATTATCATCGCCAATGAGACCGCGCAATCAACCGATTCATTTTCCATCCGCGGAAACATTCTTCATTGGAGCTCAACTAAATGCAAGCGCGTTACTCGAAGCGTTCTTGCATCAGAGATCTATGGATTGACATCGGGCTTCGATCTCGCATTTGTGATCAAGCAAACGGTCAATACGATCGCACAACGCCTTGATCTGAAGCAAATCCCGCTCGTCATTTGCACAGATTCATATAGCCTCTATGAGTGCCTCGTCAAACTTGGCACCACAACAGAGAAGCGACTCATGATAGATATCATGGCGCTGAGGCAGGCATATGAATCAAGGGATATTGCGGAAATCCGTTGGGTCAACGGCGCAGATAACCCTGCCGATGCTATGACGAAGGCATCACAAACAGCGCCCTCACGCAGTTTATTAGCGACAATCAGCTAAACGTGAGGGTGGAAGGATTCGTTCATCGCAATAACACAACAATTCTCGACGAGATTTAATCGGTTTTTCGTTCCCTTCTTCTGCTTTACCGTCGTTCTTTTATTCCATTCACATTAACGAGGAGATCCTCGTGTCCATATTCCAACGTGGGACCGATGGAATCAGCTAGCGCATCCGGCGCTCGAAATGCGGCCCATGATGGCGTGTGGCAGAACACACCCAGTGTGGGGAGGAGAGCTACAGTCAGAGCACACTATCCAACATAGTGATGCATCGTGGTAGGAGTTTGTTGGTGTTCTTGTTCGTGTTTTTCCTATCTCATCTTAATTCGCTGTGTTTGGTGTGTTTTGGTGGATTGATTAGTGCGCGATCATCGATTTAGAAAGAGGTTCCAGTGTTGGATCCACCTGTGCACTAGGCACCGATCGCGCACGTATAACTAATCGACCGCGCTAGTCACGTGCGAGTAAGAGGTGAGACACAGGGAGGAAGGTCTTTGCACACAGTTTGTATGGGACACGTTTCCCTAGTTACACAAGATATAACCAATTGAACCAGTTCGAATAACCTCACTGCAGTGAAGAGCCTGTCCACAGGATATATATTATAGAACTTACCCCTTGAAGACCCTTATACCTCTTACTATCCTTTGGAGCTACGACTTAAAAGTTATAACCTTGGCCTATTGAATATCTTTTCTTGCTAATATTCCCTTTGAATCTACTTATAAACTATACTTAACTTACTTCTAAGGCGTTTATTAAGCGGACACGGAGGATCGTTAGTTAGGGCCCTAATTAGTCTCGATCTGCCGGTGCTTAGTTGTTTGACCAAACTTTCTTGTCAGCAGGATAAAGACTTATAAACTATACCAATAACACCTCCACTGGGGAGGGGTGGAGGGCTATTTTGCTGGTGGTCAAGTGGTATTTGCTATGTTTGACAGTTCTCATGTGTGGTCAATTAACAAAGCTGTCGCTTAGTCAGTTTCGTTCCCTTCTATCACACGCATACTGTCGGCCTCTGCATCATGGGGGGTTCTATTAGTAGCGCGACCACTGCTTTTGCCCTTTTGGGGCCAAGACCCCTTACAGATATGCTGTTTGAGTGCCAATATGGCAACTATTTATTCCCTTTCTATTAGATATATATTGAAAGGGGGCACATACGACTAGCTCGACTAAATAGCAAGTTAATAATAGATCTTTATGCTATAACGTGTAGTATATCAAAGTATACAAGGCAAGATAAGTCTGCAGCTTTACACAGCTTCACACGGCTTCCGCTGCTTGCCATTATTGTTATTAGCAACCCGATTTGGCACGCCACCAAGTTCACCCTTTACTTGATCCTTTGTAGAAGTTTGGAAGAGGAAGTCTGTAATCTTCTGAGCATCAGTTATGCCGTAAACTGACATAGCATTCAAGACGAGGCCGGCAACATGGGGCGCAGCCATTGAGGTGCCAGTCTTTTTCGCATTGCCGGTATCCTTCTTATATGTAACCGACGGGATCTGCGCTCCTGGGGCGAAAATATCGACCACAGGCCCCAAGTTACAGTAAGACGCAACGCTCCAGTCTGTGTTAATACTTCCAACAGTTATGGCATTCGGTGAGCGAGCAGGCGACCCCCAGGCACATTTGCCCTCGTTACCTGAGGCAGCGACAGTCAACACGCCCTTCTTGAAAACCTTGTCGATAAGATTGTCTAAAGCTTCCGAAATGCCGATATTGAGAGACATGTTAATCACGGCCCTGCCAAGGCGATTTTTTTTTTCAATATCCTCCATGATCCAATGGACGGCGTTTATCATTGTAGTAGCGGCAATTGCTCCGTCTTGCGTCACCTTCACAGATATGATGTGAGCATTCTTGACCACACCGTAGGTCTTAGAGGCAATGATTCCAGCGACGTGGGTACCGTGTCCTTTTTTGTCTTCGTAGTCGTCCTTATATCGAGTCCAGCCATTTTCAGCTCGGCCCTCAAATTCTTTATGTGTAATTCGAACACCCGAATCGACGACATAGGCGTAGGTGTTGCTCCCGGCATCAGAATCGTAATAGTACTTGTATAAAGCTGAAGGCCGCCATTTTTTTGTGGCAAATCTGTGAGAGATATCCCGAAGGTTGTGAGGCGCCCAGCGCTGGGTAACTAACGTCCCTGCTCTCCTTTGTACACGTGTTGGCGGCTTTAATGACTCGTTTTCCACCTCTGAATCTGTCTCCAGTTCGCGGAGGGTTAGGTTGGCATGTATGATCTGATCCTTTTCCACGGATTTGACCTTGATCAAAGTCAGCCTTTTGGTAATGTAACTTCGAAGGCCGGATTCAGAGTGGTGCACTTACTTGGGGCTGTTTACGGATATAATCAATGACTTGTGATGCGAAGCTACCTGTATAACCATGAAACCCGTATTTCTCCCCGAAAAAGGTGTCCTGACGACCCTTGAACTGACGATCGCTACTATTAAGACTGGCCCGGTGCTTGGAATCTACCAATTGAAGGTGAGATTCAAGATCCTTATCTTTTAAGCCGTCTTGCATAGCCACGATATATATCTCTTCACTATTGCCAGAGTCGTTCGTAATCGACTAGATGTGTCAGTTTCTATATGCATTTACTCCAATTTCTAGGCGTGCTTACATGTCCGCTTGGTTCTGTAACTGAACCCGAATCCAGTGTATTCTCCGGCCCAGGACCCGTTCGGTCATTGACTATGCGCGCAACCCCCCCAGTAAGGACAGCCAAAAAGAGAGTTGTAATCTTCATCCTTTTTAGAGCAGTGAAAGCAGGGTCCTGGTGACAAAATTGTGGTTAAAATCCGGGATTCTCTAAGAGAAGTTGACGCATTTGTAAATTGTAGTAGAGCGACTATACAGGTCATGTTTAAGAGTATATAGACATATATAGATTGTAATAGTGATGCCATCCCAGTCACGCTCTATTATAGATTATAACAGTGCTGATATCCGAGCCAGGCTTGAAATTAGATTATAACAGTCATGCTATCAGTTGTGCTTAAGATTGAACTGATTAGCCCAGCTCTATTAAAAGCAGGGGTTCTGTCACTTTGAAAGATAATCATTAGCTGCCGATAATCCGTAAAGGGATGCATAATTCAGCCGATTTACCTTGTCCGTCACGGGACCGCTCGATATACCCCGGGCCATGAAAAAGCCTCAACGCACCAATTGCAGCCGTGCGATACTGCAAAGGGTCATAATGAAGTCTCATCAAGGCACCGAGTCACGCGCACCTTGCAGCGATACATTTTCTTTGAATATCATCCGGAAAACCGCATCGCGTCGCACCAGACGAGGCAGCTTGTGCTTGGGTTTGTGATGCTGGGAGCTCAGACGCTCTACTTGGAGGAGTTGAGGTTGCTTCATCTTCTGGCACGACACGTGTCGAGGAAGTGCGGGAGGCTCTAGCACAGCAGAGAGAAGCAGGATGAGACCACCTTCGGATCAGATCTGCGGGGACATGCTTGGCAATTCCTCATCAGGTGGCCCATGGTCATGCCCATCAAATTTAGTAGGAGAATCTGATTCTGCTCCTGCAAAGTCCTGAGTATGTGAAGGCATGGGCTGCGGCGCGGGTACACTTGTCTGTGCTGAAGCGTCATGCTATCACAGCATTTTTGCGATATAGCTAGGCCTAATGCTATTATGGGCTATCGAGAACAGGGTGTAAAAATCGAAGACTGCCCTACACCTGGTATACGACCGCGGGATAGCCAGATTCAGTCAGTTATCGCCAAGTGTAATAAGGTCAGTTTACTAAGAGCTGGGCACTACTTTGTAATCTCGAATTCGTGTTCATCAGGTGTTCGAGATTATGAGTCGTATAAAACAATGCGCTATTCTAGCATGGTTTCCAATGGAAGCTCGTCTCCCTCTAGGCGCGACGGAATCTGGCTAGTCTGTGAGTGGGCGCCGTCTTCATGCCTGCGCCTGCGAGGCTGACTGAGAGGAATCAGGCCACAGGGCTCCAAGAAGGCCGCCTCCTGGTCACTGCAGTGATTTTACAAGCAGCAGATACCGTATTGTCTCGAGAATTCGAGCCCGTCTTGGTAAGGGGAACCCTGTAGAGAAGTACCTTTAATCTGTCCTCATTCGTATGGGCAACCCAGCTTTTAGCGATCGCCAAGGCTGGCTCAACTTTTTGAGATCATGCGGTATAGCAGAACAGCCCTGTCAAACGTGATGAATACGGCTCTGCCAAGAAAAATGGTGGCACCCATAGTAGAGGCATTTCTAGAGCATATTACATTGTGACTACACATCCCTACTGCAAGTCTGCGTCTGCCTTAAATTATTTCAGGTATCGTGGATCAGATTTGAATTATATGATGACAGTCGGACAGACGCAATAAAGAGTTAGCAACATCAACCCGACTCGTCATCATAAGCCTACCTACATGTACTGATCGAAGCTCCTCAAGATCATTTCATATCCTTTCTCAAGCCTCGATATTCCTCTGGCATACACGTTTACTTATTTTCATGATTCCACAATGAAGATGCTCTGGCTATTTCTCGCCGTTTTCTCAGTACTCCTGAAGTCTACCGAAACTCGGAGTCTTGGCCACCCAAAGGACTGCGTCACAGACCCTAAGTCTGGCCAGGAGATAATCAACCCCGAAGTTATCTCTCAAGGGGTGGATGGAGAGTCGAGCTCAATTTACAAGAGAGATGGCGCCGTTTGCCTTAGAAGTCGGGACGCCGACGATGATGACGAAGATGAGACCGGTGTCGCAGACACCGGCAAACGCCCACCCAAACCCGAACGGACTCAGAGAAGCGGCGTTGGTCTCCTAAATTGGGGACAAGGGTAATCAACTCCCACCAATGTCAATCTCGTCAGAGATCCAATCATCGTTCTGACTTTGAACTAGTTATAATACGTTTTTGGGTAAAGGAGTGATGCCTGACGCCGTGATCTTGCGCGACGGAAAGAAGAAAAGGAATCTACCTGCGGCACTTGGCCAAGAGCTGCTTAACCAAACCACGACATTGAAGTTTAACTTTACGGCACCTAGCGCGAATTTGACCCACGTGGATCCGACATCTTATTTCATCCCACCTGACGCAGACACGATTATTGACGAAGCCCTCGCCGATCTAGACATGGCTGAACAAAACGTGGCGGAACAAAACATACATGCTCGGGCCGCTGACCAGCAGGACTGCACTGGTAGTCTAAAAGCATACTACAAGCTCACAGAATCTTTTGAGTAAGACCCTAATTAAATGAACAAGGTCTAAGAAATGTTACGCTAACTACAGAATGCATTGCAGCAAGTATTTAAAGACCCTTGACATAAGCGCCTCGGCGACTGTATCTGGTTGGGGCCAAAGTGCATCTGTGTCAGGCAGCTATCTAGATCAGGCCGAGGTAGGTATTCCATTCAAACCATCCTTATCAGAAAATGCACTAACAATTATCCTAGCTGTCTAAGGATGGCTTAACATACGTAGCTATAATCGACGTTCAGAGACAGTCGGATTCTAACAGCGGATTCGAATTCAATAAAAAGAACTACAATGGGGCAACATTTGCTCAGGACTATGGCGATCGATGGATTCGTGGTAAGCCCCTATCTTCAACTTGACGTTAGAATTAAGTAAAAGCTCACATCACTTTTTTTAGGCTTCCACACGGGTGGGAAAATGATTGCTCGGCTGTCCTTTGATAGCAAAGGATCTGTTAGCAAGGATGAGTTGAAAGTACAGTAAGTTTTCCAGCCTAAAGTTGCGAAGGTACATGACTTTAATTAATGTTCCCATTCAGCGCCGAGGCTTCATTAAAGTTCTGGGGAGTTAGCGGGGATCTCAGCGCATCAGTCAAGAAGAGCATGGAAGATGTAAGTAAGCATGCTGATGTGGAGGTATCGCTATTTTATGAGGGAGATCTAGGTAGAGTTATGGGGGAGTCAGGGTCACCTGAAAAAGTTGAGTCGGTTTCTGCGGAGGGATCATTTAAGCAAGTCAAATCATGGGCCGACCAGTTTATTAACAATGCCTGCCGACACAATTACGAGTACCGGTAAGTGAGATCGCTCGTCATAAAGGTATGGATCTGACAGGTTTACTAGGCCCCTTCTCGACGAATATAGAAATGCCGACAACTTTCCCAAGGGTCAAAAGATACTTGACTACCGCATTGCGCATCTAGTGGTAGGCACTGCTGCACAGGATGTACCTGCCTTGGAAATGTCCAAACTGACACGAAATGTAGTCTTACAAAGTTTTAAGGGAACTCGTCCGAATCTCGGAAATGTCGCAGTATCTGCAACGTCGTAAGATGCCTAGCGCCCCTATCTATCTAACCCAAACATGGTTGAAGTTTCTAATATCATATAATAGTCGAATTGCATGAGGACGAGCTAAAAGACGACATTGAGTTTGCCAGTCTTGAGATGGTAGAAGCAAGTAAGAATTGGGTATGTTTACACTTCACTACAAAAACACAACTGTTGAAATCATCACTAACATGCATCTGATGGTAGGTTGACTCTAATGCCGAGAAGCCGGAGAGTGCTATACAGACGGGAAGGGACCTCATCAAAAAATTTAGAACGGATTTTTATGATAAGTACGAAAATCTTATGCGCCACGACGTCTATATATCTGGTGTGGAGGTAAGAGTATTTCCGCATGACAAATTCACTCGTTGCTAATACTATGACAGGTGATATACGGCGACCAACCACCAGCGACTCGGGTCCTCGAGATCTTACATCACATCGAGGATATTAATCATAACATGGGTGGAGAGTAAGTTCCAGCTAGTCCTTGCCCGTTCCCCGATGTTGATGCTTAATACTTCTACCTAGGTTTGTTTGGCTTGTTCCAATCTATACCGCGCGTCGCGATGAAGCTTGCACTTCTTTTAAGGTAATCATCCAGGACGGGGGACTTGCCGGGTTCAAAGATCTCTCAAAGGGTGCAGGAGGCAAGAACCGGTATCTCCAGTGCGAAAAGACTCCATCGGAAGACAAAATCCGACGATTGGCGCTGGTTCGAGGACTTGAAAACGCTCAGGATTATCTCGATGAACTTGACCATGGCTTCCGGGGCAAAACGGAAAATATAAACGAGGGGCGTGGGGATTCGAACGATATATTGCATCTTCTGTGGGCATTTGATGGCAAACGAGACGAAGCTTCAAAAAAGGACGTGCGGGATTTCTATAACGTGCCGGTGGTAAATTAGCTATAGCCTTGCAGGCCACAGCGCAACTGGCTGGCAAAGCCTTTTTACTTACGCATAATGAGCCGCACATTTCCGTGCGTTCGTTTTGCTTACCCTTTGTTCTTTAGATAATTTTGCAGTAATTAGCTCATGCTATCTTCGACCCTTATTAAGGCGAAATGATTTATCTAACAGGCTCTTAACGTGGCAGCGGGGAGTTGATTTTGTCCTCTAAGTTTAGTAAATAGTAATGCCTAGGGTCTAGAATTTTACTATAATAACGGAGTTTTATTATTATTTATTTATTACTTATATATAGCCTCTAGGGCTATAGCGAGGCTTATAGAGGCAAGGCCTTTATAAGTAGTCCTAGCTAGCTATATAACTTTAAGAAGCCTATAACTAATTAAGGAAGGGGTTTTATAAGGAAATATAAAGGTAATATAAGAGAGGTTAATTTAGTTAGTCCCTTACTAGTTCTTTTACTCTTAATAGCTTTTTAAGGCTTATAGGTTACTCCTTTATGAACTATATAGCTATACTTATCTTAGTTATTACTAGGAAGGCTAGAAGGGCTTTCTTTTTAAGCGGCGAGCTATAAAGAAAAGCTTAGCTAAGGGTTTTCTATAGTCTTAAAAGAAGGGCCTTATAAAAGTCCCTTCTCTCTTCCTTATAGTTAGGGCACCTTAGTATAAGATGCTTTACTATATACCTTTCTTACTTATAGCGGTAGGTATCGAGGCTAACCTTATTAGCCTTCTTTAAAAAAGATAGTAAGAAGCTAGCCTTAAAGAGAAGCTAAAAATAAGCTAATAAAACCGGTCTAGGCCCTATAAGCTCTTTTTCTAAGCTAAGGGCTAAGTATAGGCCCTTTTAAATAAAGGTATAGTATCTACCTAAGCCCTTAGCCCTAGAGCTTTTAGCTACTTAATTAGCTTATAGACCCTTTTATAGGTCCTTAGTTACTTATTAAGTTTTTCTTTATAGGTAGCTAATAAAGACTATTAAGGTTTATTTAAAAGGGGCCCCCTTAAGCCTTTCTTAGCTAGCTAGTTAGCTAATTTATTACTAAAGATCTCTTAATAGCTAAGGTACTAATATCGCTATATATTATAGTAAGCTACTAAGCTAGCTAGTAGGCTTTAATATATAGCTAAGTTAAAATAACCCTTAACCTTCTTAATAGTAGCTTAGTAATCGATAAAAATATAAGCCTTTATAGGAGGGTTAAAAGGGCTAGGGCGTAAGGCCCTAATAGGCCCTTACTAGCTAGGCCTACTACCTATAACTATAGGAAGGCAGACTAAAAGGTCTTCTTAGACTACTTAGCTAAGAAGGAATAAGACCTCCTTATAGCTATAAAGAGGGTAAAAAAAACGACTTTAAAGGGATAGCTTCCCTTTTAATAAGAACCCTTATAGAGGCCTTAAACGTAGCGATACTAAAAAAGAGGCCCTATCTTTAAGAGTCTAGGCGTTGCCTAGATAGTTAATAAGTATATAGTTAATAAGTATAGTTAATTAATAAGCTAGGTAGCTTAGTTAATTCGTTACCTTTTATCGCGTGCGTATAATATATCGTACGTAGTAGAGGGGGGGTAGTAGCGCGACTATAGCCTATGCCCTCTTAGGTCTACTCTATAATATATTAACTAAGCTACCTACTAGTCGTAGGTTTAAGTCCCCGTGCGTAAGGCTAGATAAGCGCGTATATATACGGGCGCTATAGCTTAAAAGCGTATATATAGCGTAGGCAGCAAGGGATCTTAACCTAGGCTAATAGGTAGTACGGCACCTAGGGGTAATAGCCTATTAACTAAGGGGAGAAAGCGCGGGAAGAAACTATATATAAGAGTCTAGGCGTTGCCTAGATAGTTAATAAGTATATAGTTAATAAGTATAGTTAATTAATAAGCCGGGCAGCTTAGTTAATTCGTTACCTTTTATCGCATATATATAACACGTTATATATAGTAGAGGGGGGGTAGTAGCGCGACTATAGCCTATACCCTCTTAGGTCTACTCTATAATACTATATAGGATCTAAGCCCTAGTAAACTAACGAGCTAACCTCCCTTTAAAAAGCCCTAAGCTTAGCTTAATAGGCGTATAGGCTAACCTAGGATAAAGAAAGCTAAAAGAGCTTTATAAAGGCCTAAAATAGCTTTAAGTATACTATTAAGGCTACTAAAAAGTAATACTAAGAGAGCTTCCTAATAAAAGTAGTAAGAAAGGATATCTTTATAGCCTTTTCTTATACTAAGGCTAAAGCTAACCTTACCCTTCCTAGTATCTCTTATATAAAAGAAGGGATAGAGGTAAAAGCTAATACCTTTATAAAAAAATATAAGGCCTTCTTAACAACCCTTTTTCTAACCCTAGACCTTAGCCCTAGCCCCCTTCCTAGCCCCCCCTAAAGCCTAGAAAAAGAAGAGCCTCCGGGCTATATAAGTAGTAAGGGCATAGCTAAGTAAGACTAGCTAGAGCTTAAGGACCTTAAGATTAAGAGGGCTATTTTTAGCTCTTTTAATAAAAAAGCCCTTAGCCTAAACTCCCTTAGCTTCCTCCTTATCTATTACGCTTATAAGGCTATTCTTACGGTCTTTAAAAGGGCCTATAAAGCCTTATTTAACTAAGGATACTACCTTAAGGTATAGAAGGTATTATAGAGTAGGTAGAGGTATAGGCTTAGGTACGGTCTATTAAAAGAAGGTTAATAATCTATAAAAGGGAAAAGGAAAAATAGTATAGGCTTAGCCTATATAGGCATAGAGGCCGCTTATATATAGACTTAGCTTAGACCTTAGTCTAGGCCTATATAAGGTAAAAGCCCTTATATTATACCCTTACTTAGCTTTCGAAAAAGCGCGACTTTAAATAATACTTAATACCGCGCTTAAGGGGATAGAACCCTTATATAGACTACGTACGCTTAGTCGCGGAAAAAACGTTAGTAATTAATATATAATATCCTCTTAAGTAAGCTTCTTAGATAGAATATATTATTAGTAAGGGCCGCGCCTTAAAAGTTAGACTTTAGTACTTATAGTTAAGAGGTAAAGGTATATAAAATAGCGTATAGCTAGCTTTAGTAAGCTTATAGTATCCCGCCCCCTTTATATTAGCGTATAGTAATAGCTCTTAGTACTATAATATAGGGGACGGTACTTTAATATATAAGGCTCTACTCCCTTTTATATAGGGCTATATAAGTACTCCCTTTCGCTATAGTTATATTATATTAATAGCCTTCTTATATCTTAGCCGCCCTTTTAGTCGCTATAGGTATACGTCCTATTTATATAGTAGCTACGACTATATACGAGGGAACGCTAATAAAGCCTATAGAGGCGTTACTAAGATTACTTATTACTAAAGTCGCTATTATTAAACCTAACCTCCTTTCTATCTTAGCGCGTACGCCCCTCTACTACTTAGAGTACGTTTACCTATGCCTCCTAGCGCGGGTACTTTAAAAACTAATAGGATTTACTACTATAGCCTATATAGCGACCCTTTTATTACTACCTCTTTTTATCCTTAGTCCTTAAAGTAAAGATAGAGATATTTATAATATTACTAGCGTTATGCTCTTCTTATACTATAAAAGGAGATAAAAAAAGAAACTTATTACTACTAAGCTTATAAAAAAGGCTAACGAGATCGGTATATATATTTAGTAGTATAGACCTTTCGCTTAAATAAGTATATTAATTTATATTTAAGCTTATAATAAGGTAATTATACTTTACTACGTTAAGCTAGCTATATATATTTACTTAATATAGTACTTTTTTAAACTATATAAGGTAAGCTAGAATTACTTTACTTTACTTTTAATAGAGCGTTATAAGCTCTTAGCTTACTAACTAAGCTACGTTAAGTTTATTATAATTAGTATAGAGCTTTATAAGGAGGTTAGCTAGTCTATTTATACTAGTACGCGTAAATAGTAAAAGATTCCTTTATAGGTATAGGGATAAGCTTATATAAAGGTAGTTAAATTAAGCGCGGATATCTCTTATTATAGCGCTATTAATATAGAGTTTTACTTTTATATAAAGTAGCTATAGCTTAAGCTTTATAGAGGAGCTATTAAACTTACTAAGGTATAATAGTACCGCTCTTAGTTATATAGAGCCTTAATATTATAAGAAGCTATTAATTGCTTAAGTAAACTAAATATTACGTTCGCTTTAATTTTATAACTATAAGAGTATAAATATTTTATATATATATATACTAGTATAGGCGGTTTAACTAAACTAAGTAATTAAACGTTAGCTTTAAAGGTAGCTAAAAATAGCTATTTTATATATAAGGATATAAAGAAGATAAAATAAAAGGTAGATTATACTATTATAGAGTAAGTAAAGGTATAGGCTTAGGTATAGTCTATTAAAAGAAGGTTAATAATCTATAAGAGGGAAAAGGAAGAGAAGTATAGGCTTAGCCTATATAGGTATAAAGGCCGCTTATATATAGACTTAGCTTAGACCTTAGTCTAGGCCTATATAGGGCAAAAGCCCTTATAAAAGGAAGCTATAAGAATTATACTTTCTAAGTAAAATAAGCTAGACTATACTATCCTTAAGGCCTATAAGGTTATAAGTCTACTTAACTATTTAAGAAAGGTCCTTAAAAAGCTATATACTACTTAGCTAAGCTATTTAGCTAATATAGCTAGGCTTTTAAACCTTATATAGCTAAGGGGAAGAAAATAGCGGTTAGCTATAAATATAGCCTTCCTCCTTCTATACTATATCTAAAAAAAGTAAGAGTTTAATAAGAAAGCTATTACTAGTACCTTCTTATTAAATATAAAGGGCGCCTTTAACTTTATATTAAAGGAATAGCTTATAAGGGTCCTAAAGGACTTAAACCTCCCTATAGCCCTTATAAGCTAAGTAGACTACTTCCTTACTAAAAGGAAGATCTAGCTAGCCTTTAAAGGGTAGGTCTAGCCCCTTATAAACTTAGTAATAAGGGTACCTTAAGGGTCCCTTATTAGCCTTATTTTAT